CAAAAGCTAAACTATAAATTACATGCAATAGCTAAAATAAATTACCTAAGTATCTTTGTTCTATTATTAAGCTAATTCTTGTAAAAATATTCTTGAAGGGAATAAAAAGCTTTGCACAACAAGTAATCCTTTAATTGACGCTTAAAAACCTTGAACTCTTGAATACTTCTTATTTGAGAGGGCAAGTTATTATACAATCTTATTCCCATGTTAATCACACTCCTTTTACAACGTGAGGTGTTACATGGTTGGACATACAAATTCTGCTTATGTACTGTGTTATAACCGTGCACATCTGAATACGAGATGTTATATATCCTATTTTTCCTTAAAAAACACAACGTCTCAAAGATATACAATGAAGTTAAGGTTAAAATTTTAAATTCACCAAAAAATTCTCTACACGATATCCTGTTATTGACTCTTTTGATCAGTCTTAAACATTAAACATCTTGTGTTTTCACTTTTCCCTGGCACCCTCGATCTTTCACGTGCCCCCACAGATATAAATGTAGGAAGTTATGGAGTGGAAATCTGGGTAGCCAGTGTTGTTCGCCACCACAATTGATTCATTGACCAGGGATGCAGTGATCAATATATGTTTTCTCTGCACAACTAAAATGGAGAGATACTCCACCATGCTGAAAATGCACATGCAATTGTGTTTTTGAAGGTTTATCTTCTTACATATCTAACAGTTCATTCTGCAAAAATTTTAGATAAATGTCACATGTAATAACCTAGCAGATAAACAGACCAATCATCAGATTATGGAGCATACCACACTATACATTACATTGAATTGATGTTAAAATTTGAGCATGCCAACATAATTACTGTGACCTATATCAAAGCCATTCTTGAATTTCGAACACCTACTGTTGCTTAACTGCTGAGCATTTGGAATGACCTCAGATATAAGCTTCTGAAGTTAAGGTATTGGTGAATCATCACGTATCTAGGGGTTTGCCATTGCAATGCTCATTCAAAGATGACAAAAGGGGTCAATAAAATAAAACTTAGAACCTAAATAATGAAGCCTCATTTACTATTGAGGTAATATTTCATCCTTTACGCGTGATAAATTATCACCAAGTGTTTCAGACATACAAATAGTACACTGTTAACATCTGTAACCCCCAAAAATATGTTACAGATTGTATATCTGCCACTGCAGTTGAAATAAATAAGACATTGTTAGCATTGCTACCTAATATGAATAATTATTCTTATATGAACTTGCATTTTTAACCAGTGAACCTAAGGACTTCCAGGAACTTAGATGTAGGCTTCATTTGACAAGAGTCTGTATTTTGAGGGGCCAAAGTACATACGTGGACTGCAAAACATTAATTACCAGACCTGTACGTCCCGATACATGACGATCATTGCCTACTCCTCGCACATGTAGTGTTTGGCGCCTTTAACCTCTACGTTTCGGATTTTGTGGTCAGCTGTCACATTAAAATTCGTCTGCTTTGGAAATTTGGCGCCAAATAATACAAATGAACTTAATCGGACACGAAAGGAATTAGCCATCAAACTAAGAAATAAGTTCTCAAACAAGTATACGTATGTATAATGTACAGCTCAATGAAGTGAACGCTACGCACAGAATGGAAGGTAAAATGATATAGAAATATATTCATGATAAGAGGTCAAGGGTAATAAAAGCAGTAGCATAAATTGTCTGTTATTAAACCTCTAGTCTTACTGGCGAGAGCCTGTTGAAACGTAATGAGCAATTCTTTATTTAGTGATTTTGTTGATATTCATTAGACTCACTCAGTTCCTTGACCGGCGGTCAAATTACGATGGCAATGTAATTAGGCGAGCATGGCCGGCTCGACAGTCCCGTCAGAGGGCGACGTATTGTGCAAATCGATTTCCTTCTTTTTTAAAAATGAAAATTAGTCTCTGCTGGCCCGTAGGTCATATGGTGACCATTAATTGATAATAATCTAAACATATTATGTAAGGTAAAAAGGTAAAGGTATCCCTGTAGCAGGCCGTGGAGGCCCATAGGGTTGTAAGATGTTGAGGCTCCCATTATGTAACAATGTTAATAAAACCGTTTTATGAAACATACATAAATTACGATCTTTCGCCACAGTTTCTTGAAATTCCACGTTATTAATTGTGACGAAGTTTTGAGGAAGCTGGTTTTTATTATAATTGCATCCGGGGAGGAAGGTTTACATCGCCTGCATCGGTATTTACGCTCTGGTCGACTCTAATCCCAAAATGGGAACACCCCACAACAGACAAAAATACACGTATTATTTTATTAGGGAAGTTAGTTCCTATAGAATTATTAAGGTCTAAACGTGTAACTTATTATTGACGACGAGAAACCGAAAATACAATAATTAATAAGGATAGTACTTCTACTTTTGAAAACTTAATTTTACAATTCGATTTCTTTATTATTATATTTTACAGTAACGTGAGACCAATGTGGTGTGGTACGAAGGTACCAAAGTTTCGGAGAAATGCTGCTATCAGTCTACGAGTCACACTGATAGTCATAACCGTGATAATCTCAAATCTCATTCTGAGTAATTGTTTTATGGCGCTTGAAAGTATTTAATTCCTTGTAACAGTTAGGTTCTAATAGCGGTGATTATGAAGAGTTTTTCTATCTTCTGGGATATAACGCTGTGTAGTCCATTGAATGTCAACCGACGTTTCGGAGGAACATGTTTCCTTCATCTTCAAGGTCAAAGAATAAGCTAAAGCACATGAAGTAGGTAGCAAACTCTGCTTGCTACCTGTTTCACTCTGGTTTCTTGTTTAGCCTATTCTTCGACTCTGAAAATGAAGGCGACATGTTCTTCCGAAACTTCGGTTGGATTTCAGCAAACTACACGACGTTATATCCCAGAAGACAAAACTCTTTAATTCTTTGTTTATTCTCAATTGAATACGTATTTGAAACAGGAAGACGCTGGCACAGTGAGATGCATGAAACAGCAGGCGTGAGCTTGGGAAAATTCTGCTGTATAGTAGACTTCGTGCAAGAAATTATGGGATATTGTTGTGTATGAGAGGAGGTGAGGGAAAGTAGTTATGTTCCCCGAGGTTTTGTTTAGCACCGATTTAGACAGCATGCTAACATGCTTTTTGCATTTAGAATTCCCTACTCTGACCCAGAAACACTATCTGGTCCCTTTTGGCTGGCTCGTGAACATGGACGAATTCACTTGGACGAACGATGCGCAGAGTTGTGAAGCAGGTCAAACTAAAGCGAAAATAATTCTGTGTGATTAATGTCTCAGTTCCGAAAACTACTATGTTGATAAAAAATTAGATCTTCCTGAAGAAGGTCGGCCTTACGTCATAAGATAATTGTCCATAAACAGTGTGTGGGTGATATGTAGCACGGATCACGGATCCAGCAACCAAGCTAACACAGTGGAGATTTACCGGAACAGGCTACTCTGGAGATATGCAGACTTCAAGAAGCTTCACCAGCACTACAGAGACCAGGACCATAAACTACAGTGAAGCAACATACCAGACAATATTATCTCTAAGGCCGTGCCACAGCTTAAGCGTTTAGTCGCTGGCTTCCCACCGAGGCGGTCTGGTCCAGTGGGATTTGTGATGGACAAAGTGGCACTGGGGCAGGTTTTCTCCGAGTACTTCGGTTTCCCCTGCCAATCTTCATTCCATCAAACTCTCCATAACCATAANCCACAGGACGTCAGCACATACGGATCCGTACGGACTACGGTATGACGTTTGTAGTCCTGAGCGAATCTGTTGGTGTCAGTGTGGGCATCATGGTTCTCGTGTGGTCATCGTGGGTCGTGAGTCGGTAGTCGTGGTTCATGTTCGTGCTTTCGTTGGTTTGCGAAAATGGCTAATGCTACAGACGAGCTAAGTGAGTTACATTGCATTTTGGTTGGTTCTAAAGGCTCGGGGACGGCACGTTGAACATAATTTTTCATCAGCTTACATTTTCAGATAAGACACTAATTATCTTCATAACAGTGTTAGAAATTGCGGGCTGATAGGCAGTCCCGGATGAAGAGTTCAATGTGAATTCTCTGCGAAGGAAAAATCTCAGACCTTTAAATTTTAGTTTTGCGCAAGTAAAGAGTATTTGTACTGTAGTTTATACGGAGGCACGAGACCGTATATATAATGTCAGTATTGAAGGTGTCATCAGAATTTTTGACTTTGAGTTGTAGTTTTAGAACATGATAAGATTTGGACGTAGTAATATTAATATTGTATAAAACTTTATATTCTACCGGCGGTGGCTACGAAGACTATTGTCTTCAGGGGCGTGAATCCGTGTAGTCTGGTGGTTCGTCGACTTTACGGAGGAACTTACTGTACCTGTTTCTCAAGTGAAGTCATGTGGGATTCGTGGTGAACAGAGTGGCACTAGGGAAAGTGTTTTTTCTTTTTTGGAATACATCAGTTTCCACAGCCACTCGTCATTCCATCAATTTCACCACATTCTTTAATCATCCTGTCATTTGACGCTACATAGCTTTGACAGTAACAGTGTTATTATATAGCCAACTGAAAGATAACTTCAGGTCAAGAGAGTAAGCCCAACAAACAAACACACATGTATTTAGCACAGAACTTGGCATGCTTTGCCTACTCTTTGATTCTGAAGATGGAGGCAGTTTGTTCTTCTGAAATGTCATGGAACTTTTACAGGACAACAGGGTGTCACATCCCAGAGACAGTGCTATTATTGTTACTTTTGAGATCAAAGTTTTGCAGAATGCCATCAGTCAAATGTTATGTCTAAAGAGTTTAAACCTTGCATGACAAATAGACTCATGATTTTACTCTTGATAAAGGTATATGAGAGATTTGTATCTATTTCATTATCTTTTGTACATAAATTGTGTTTGATGAAGAAAAGTAACTGCCCCAAGCTGTTGTGAACTCAATTGGCAGCACTATACTAAGGTCATATCGGCAGTTGTGAGAGAGCTACTGTAGAAGAGTGACATATAAGATTTGAGGTTCTAGTGGTGGTAATGAAGAGTTCTGCCAACTGGGTTATTACGCTGTGCAATCTGTTGAAAGTGAATTGATGTTTTGGAGGAATATGTCATCTCCATCCTGCTTCCTGCTGGTTTCTTGCTGGGTCTACTCTTCAACCCTGAAGGTGGTAGTAAAATGTCCCTCTTAAATGTCAGTTGCCTTTCATCAGACTACATGGCATTATATCCCAAAAGATGACACAATTAGAGAGTGTTATACATTTGATATGTTTAGAGCATTACGTTTTTTCAACTTTCAGCCCTCTTGGAGCGCGTGTTCCTTCGCATTGGTTCTGCAGAATCAGATGAACAGTTACAGAGTGCAGTATCAAAATTTCTTCCACCAGTGCTATTAAAACTGTCAAGTCAGCAAGATGGAGTTAGGAAAAAGGTACATAAATTCTGTGAAAAAATGAAGCTGATATAATACACTGTAGCTACTATCTGCAGAATTATTCAGTTAAATTCCTCTCAAAGAGATATATTTAAAAATTAAATTAATTGTTGTCTAGCACAGTCAAAGGATTATTCAGTTAAAGTCCTCTCAGAGAGATGTGTTTATAAATTGTTCAGTTTACATATGAAGTTGGATTATCAGAACCTAATTTTTTAGGTTATGGAACTGCTTGTTCACATCAACAAACGAATCAAAAGCCGTTCATTGGTACAGTTGCCAGTGGAAGCCTTACTTCTGCAATATCAGGACCCAGCAGCAAGTTCTTTTGTTACTGTAAGTAAGTTTTCAAAATTTGTATGTAAATAATATCTATTCTATTCTATTAAAATTAAAATTTCTCCTTCAAATTTTAATGGACTTCAATTAATTATTTATGTTATTTTTAAGTGGACTGCAACGCACAATTTTAGCGCACATCAGAGCAGTGTAACAGTTTGGATGCATCAAGAAACCTGAGGATGGTCATCTATGGCCAAAACATGTTGTGTCAAGTGTTAAATGGTGAATAAACATTTGTTGCATTATTGATGGACTGTGGATACATAGATGTTTAATTAAAGATTTGCAACAGGATGCTGAAATACAGAATTGAACTGGCTAGATTCAAGATTTATTTGTAAAAGTTATCAAGGTGAAACAAACATTTAGGTTTTTAATTTTTTCTTTCCTGTCCAGAATTTTACAATAATCTATATCAAATTGGGCTACCCAAGATTACCGGTGGCAAAACAGGCGGAGCTGGTGCCATGTGTTCTCAATGCTTTGGAAGGCAGACCTCAGTCACATCAAGACAGGTAAGGTAAAACAATGTGACTACAATAAAATATTTGATAAGGGCTTCTGAAGGGTGTGTTTCACAAATAGATGTAGGCTGTAGGAGAGTCTGATAGACTTGGAGTAACATGTGCTTAGCTATTTTGGTTTACAGAAGACTTAATTGAATTTGTTTAAAATTTATACTTACATTTTATTTTTCAGTATTTAAATAAGTTGCATAAGTTACAAATAATTATAAATTGCAACCTCAGTGTAAAAAGTCTGGACATGATTGTGTTATTATTTGTTTAGTGTTGACCTGTCTTGCCTCTGCCCACCTAGGCAAAGGTATAGAATCCATTTCTGAAGCGGGAGAATCCATAATATAGATAGCAGATATATCCATTGGTAGCATGATCGTCAGAATGATGGGCGGCAGAGGAGACCCACAACTTAATATGGACTGAAACATGGGGGGGGATTTATTTTTTTTTTTTTGCTTTCCCAAAATTTTGTTTAAAAAATTTCAAATAATAGTATTATACAATGGCAAGAAGATAAAATTTTTCCCGTATATATGCAGTATTCCATGAAGGTGTGGGGAGTGGTGTTAACGCCTGCCAGAGTGTTATATGGATGATTTAATAAATGGATAGCAAAGGTTAACCCAGGAATGTACATAAATTGAAATATTGTGGTAAATATTACGATTTTTGCTGTCAACCTAGTGGTAATACAAACAAGTGAAGAAGAGCTTCAAACATTGGTGCACCTGTTGCACTTCTTTATGTCAACTCTGCAACACATGTAATTTGAAAATATCTCTTAAGAAAACCAAAATGATTGCATGAATTTTTGGGAGGCCACCCAGTTAAGACAAAAATAGTAATTGAAGGACATACGAGGGGGTACCCAAAAGAAACCGAACTTATTTTTTTTTAACTTATTTATTCAAATTTTAAGCACAAACCTTCAATCCCCTTCAAAGTACTCTCCACTTACACTAATACACTTGTCTAGTCTTTTATTCCATTTTTCAAAACATTGTCTAAATTCATCTTTTGAGATGCTTGACAGCGCCTCCGTCGTTTTTTTCCTTCACCTCAGCAACATCAGCAAAACGCTGAAAAAAAGTTTTGATCATTTCGGGACTCTTCTTTCAAAGCACAGCATGCTTCCACGCGACCTTGTTTTTGTTCAGCAGTCAGCAGTCGTGGCACGAATTTCGCAGCCACCCTTTTCATTCCCAAATCTTCTGTCAAAATTCGCTGAACTGAGCTCCAAGTCACTCCCGACAGCTCCACAATTTCTTCAATGGTCCGTCGTCGATCTTCCTTGATGATTTCACGAATTTTTTCAACATTTTCATGTGTTCGGGCCATTGCAAAAACGACGATCACACAAAACAGTTGTCACTATAAACTCTGCCGAAACTAGTCCTTACCTTCTGAAGCAACGGTAGTCGGCTTATCGACTCAGGAATGTTAGCTCTATGCGCTCATAGCGGCAAAACGCGGTACTACAAAAGCTCTGCCCACAAAAAAATTAGTTTGGTTTCTTTTGGGTACCCCATCGTATATTGGAGCAGTTGTCTCGTTTCCAGTATCTCCAATGTGATATATATTATGCATATGAGAAGGATATAGAAAGTAAACTGCACTGATGGCAAGCTATCTGGGGAACAATGTGAAGGATAATGAGAGTTGAAACATAAAAAGAAATATAAATAGAATTGTATAAAGTAATGGAAACACTGACATTGTTATATGTATCTGAGACTTGGGTGAGGAGAAAGAAAGAAAACAGGCAACAGAAATGTGTTTTATTTAGAGCAGTAAAAGGATGCATCAGGGAAGACAGAATAAGAAATGAAAGCATAAGAGATGATATGTAGGAACTCTGCTACCGTCAACACAACAAATATTTGAGTTATTACATGAGATCTTTATTACTGCAACATGTTTTGGTCATACATGATCATCATCAGGCAGGAATACATATACAGTAAAACTTGGTTATAGCAACATCGGTTTCTGCGACACCTTGTCTATTGTGTCGAATATTCAATGGTACGAACTAATTCCTCATAAAGCAACTGTTTTTATACCTTGCTTAGTACGACATGCACAGATGCATCAACCTCGTATGTAACGTCATTTTCATTCCTGAATTTCTCTGATATGGACATTGAACGTAATTTAGAAAGTGTGTGTTGGGCAAGTAACAGGAAACAGATGAAGATAACTGATTACTGTACTCGTATCTAGGTACAGTAAGGCACAACAATTGATGTAATCTACTGTAATTTGGTGAGTAGGCCTACCTTTAATATACAGTATTAGTGCGGTGTGTATTGTCAGTGAAAAGCGCTGTAATATGTCTTTGATATTACACATTTGGGCAATTCCACGTTAATGTTACGTTAGTCTGTACTTAACTACGTATTTCACTAAAAAATGCAACATTTTAACTTGGTTTTTGNTACGTGACTAACATAAGGCTACTGTGGAAGTGCCCATTTCGGTTACGACATTCGTTTATAACGACACTATTTTTAGGTCCCTTTGATGACGTTATAACCAAGTTCTACTGTAGTTATTGAAATACCAATATGGATCCGTATTGGTGCAACGTGTCATATTGAATTGTAATAATTGTAATAACTGAAATATTTGTTGTGCTGATGGTAGCACAGTTCCTACATATTGTATATTGTCTGTGACACACAACAGGATGCAAACTATGAACAAAAAAAAAGAGATGATGTACAAATATAGTCTGTAAAAGATAAATTAGATGAGACTACAGTAGAGTGGAGAGAACATATTGCAAGGATGGAGGAAGATAGAATACTAGAAGCAGGAATCAGCTGTAAACAGAAGGTTAGAAGATCACAAGGTGGCCTAATCCATGTATGCAGAAGAAGTATTTAGGTGGAAAAGAGTGGTTACTTTCACATTTGACTGCTTCACCTTTGAGGAAAGAGCCTGAGGGCATGATTGGATAGGAGGTTGGGTGAGTTCCAGAATGAGGCTGCATGTGATAATAAAGTAAAGAATTTTTGCTTTTGAGTGTAATTGAAACCTGTCTCCAAGCCCATAGCCAGTCACTTCATTACTGAGCTATTCAATCACAATAAAACATTATGTGAAAGTGCACGTATGTTGATTGAATAACTAATATGAGAACTGTGTAGCTGCATTGATTATATGTGACTCATCAGATAATATATTACAGTTTAGACTTTGAAATTACTACACTTGAAGCAGACTTAACCTGACTTTTGGTACTGGTATTTTCTCCACACTAGATGTAGTGATGTGACTCAGGCAGCTGTTTGATTGTGTTGGAAGGCAAAGTACAGTTGAAGACATGCCTGTGCTTAATTAAGCATCATACCACAAAGGTATATGGGGAGAGTAGAGGTATAGCTCCATTCTATCTTAACTTCTGGCACCAGGCAGAGGTAAGTGCTCAGCTTCACATCTTACCGCTTTACTCTCAGGGAAAGAGGTCCTGGTATCCGTTGGCTAGGAGGTTGGGTGGGTCCCAAAGCCATTCTGGACTCCGTGGCAAAGAGAGAAATCTGCCTCCACTGGGAATCAAATCCAGGTTTTTCAATTGTCCAGCCTATAATCTAGTTACTATGCTGACTGAACTACCTCAGTTCAGAAAATGTAATTCATGTTAAAAGAATCTGTATTTCTCTTTTTTTTTCTTGACAGCCTTTTGCTTATTTTAATGCCAGTACTTGGTCATGTTACTGTACCAGCCGACCCAGAGAAGAGAAGTGTGCTGTTTGGTCTTAATGAACGCCCACACATTTACAAGCTACTTGCAGACTTTATGCTGGATGTGTTACTTCTGCCATATGGGTAAGCCATTTTGTCTTCTGAATAAGCTGTGTGAAGCACAGTTATACCGCTGCTTATGCTTATAATCTGGGAATTGCTAATCCAGTTTCATTCACATTTGAACTGCATGTTTAAAACAAATCTGAAAGCATAATGACATGCACACATTTTATGGGTTTGTGTCTGCAGAAGAAGCCAGCTGTGTGGAGTTTTAATTTGCTTTGTTTGTTACAAGTGCAACTGCGCAGCAGGAACAACACCAAGAGCAAGCACGGAGCAGTCAGCATGAAGATGCAAGTAACACTTCTGCAAATTCATTTCCTGTTCCTCTAGGCATGAGTGAATATAGCTTCAAGAGAGTTACAGCTGGGAATCCACTGACATCAGAAGAATTAGAACAGGTTAGCAAGTAATATCTGTTCTTTTTTATTCTTAGGAAAGAGTGAGACTGAGTGAGTGACTGATGGCTGGAGCGTAAGGCTGACAACCTTACTGACATCTGTGAGCCAATTGTCTAGAGAAAAAGTGTGGGAGCCTCAACGTCTCATGACCCTATGGACCTTCACAGCCTGTTATAGGGATAGCTTTATCTTTTTTTATCTTTTATCGTTTAAGTTTCATTGGGCTGTTCTAGTTAATCATGAACGCCCAGCCCAAACATTTGTGTATATAGAAGCCCCAAAACAATCTCTTGGATTGTGCTATGTGGAAGTTGTGCTTTATAATAAAATATAGTGTTTTACAAGTGTTGGTGAGTTGATTTGAAGGTTATCTACACTATGAATGACTGTGAAGATGGTGATATTATATTCGTATTGAAGTTATTTATTATGATTAATTTATTTTAAAAGTTGTTTTGCAAAGAAAATGTGGGCATATACTTTAATAGCTGGGCATGGATTGTCAGTGAATGTTATTCTTTTGGAAGCTGAAAAAAAAAGTGTTTTTGCCATGACTGTGGTTCCTTTTCAGACTAAGCTGGGTATTGTGAAATTCCTAGCAAGTGGGGTCATGACTGACTCTGACATTCTTTGTCATTTGATAGTAGCTGCAGCTGATACAAGATTCAGTGTTGCTAATGCTGCAGATATGGAGCTGAAGAAGATTGTTGGGTAAGTAAGAAGATGTATAGATTTCACAGAGATTGATGATAAAGGGATTGTGAGGTTGTATAACCTTATTATTTGATGAAGTGACTTTGGATTAATTAAATTTATAGGGCAATACAATGAATTCTAAATTTTGACATCATGTATGCCTTGAAGAGGGAGGCAGTGGGTTTCTCTGAAACAGTGGTAACCACTTATGAAATTACATGGTATTGTAACCTGGGGGACCACCAACTTAATTTACATTGCTGTATTTATTTGTAGTTCATTTAATGACACCCACTGTAACTGAGACTTGTGTCAAACGATTAGATGTTAGTGAATAATGACTTGGAAAGAATGCAGAAGGAAATTATCATGTTATAATTTAAGGTTGTGTCCTTGATTTTTTCTGGAGAGAATATGGAGAAGCACAGGATTGCTCAGGATAGAGAGTCTTGTCTCTTCAAGCTGGGCATCTCCTGCATACAGCCAGAATCATTACTGCTTGACCCAACATGTTCAGTTTAACTGTCACGAATTCTTCAAAATTTCATCAGTGCATTGTTTCAAATTGCTTGCTTGGGAGAAAGTTATTAGTCTGATTTTTCATATTAGGAAATCGTGACAACTGGATTTCAAGGTGCAAGGGTAGCATAATCATTATGTCTTCAATTGTGGGCTGGAATGAATGGTTTGATAAGGTTTAGTCACAATCTTCAAGAACTGACTGGTATAAAAGGACAAGTAAGTTAACAAGATGTTCAGGAAGAATATTTTCCAAGTGTGTCAGAAATGCTTTTGTGTGTGTTCGTGTGTGAGAGAGAGAGAGCATGAACGCATGTTCAAAGAGGAACAGAAGAGGTATGCAGAGAAAATAATCATTAAGAAGGAATTGCAAGCAAAAACAAAAAAAAAAAATACCGTGGTTTTAGTCTGCAAGTAAACTATGGCGACCAAGCGACCGCTGCATGTCGGTGAAGTTAGTGCCAACTTTGTTGGCCGCACCATAGCTCAAGCAGTTAGTCGCTGGCTTCCCACTGTGGCAGCCCGGGTTCGATCCCGGGTTTAGTCAAGTGGGATTTGTGGTGCACAAAGTGGCACTGGGGCAGGTTTTCTCTGAGTACTTCGTTTTTCCCTGCCAATCTTCATTCAACCAATTGCTCCACAGTCACCCCCACCTATTATCTGGGGCTGGTACAATAGGCCAGACGTGGCCGCAGTACAAGGGCCTTAGTCCCACCCCACTAGCAATAAAAAAGAAAGTGCTAACTTTAGTGGATAGAGGATGTTGCATCATTAATGCAACAAATCCCCATGGTCGTTAATTTTGATAATTGAAAGCAAAGGTTTTAGTAAAGTACTGAAACCTAATACCAAAGTGTGTGACAGTTAATGTTTCATGATTATGAGGAGTGAGAGTTTTGGAAATGACTGAGTTTTGTGGTGGTATCAGTCCCTCCCATTTAGAAGATGTGATACATTTTGTTTTAGGTTACTAGACTGGGGAAGCATGAGCCTGACAGCCCCTCTCTACTCATTATTTTTGGGAACGCAGCTGGTAACTGCAAAATCTCGTCTGAATACTATCAAAGTGGACAAACGTTGTTCTCCAGCGAGCACACGGATACGCCTCAAGATCCTACCATACCTCTGCAGGTCAAGAGGATCTGCCCTTGTTTTCCCAGCATGTATTCAAGTAAGGGTGCTTGTAATTTACAGATCTTGAGTTCTTCATTGCCATGGTGCAGAGACAGTGCAGATGTGAACCAGGTGGTGTATTTTGAGTTTGTATGATTACTTTTCTAATTTTTACGAGTTGATTTCTCTTATATCTTGTTGAACTGCAACACATTTCATGTGCTGTGACCAGAGCTACTGCTGTCATCATGGGATAGTGATTAACATCTGACAGTGGTCCCAACAGAGTAAGTTTCCTACTGATACCTGGTGGTGTGAGCAGATCCAGCTTCAAAATATTATGTTTCTTTAATCTAAAATGGGACAATGGCAAATGTACAGTATAGATTGTATGTGGGTATGTAGTAACATAATTGTTTGAGGCACTATGCTACAGGCTGGAAGTTACTGGGTTTGATTCCCAATGATGTTTTGATTGACCTTAATCCATTCAGCTGCACTGTGGCCCTGAGGTCACTTCAGCCTGTAACATATGAGTACCAGGAATGTTCCTTGTGGTAAGGTTGTCAGCCTTACACACCTGCCACCCTTCACCTGCCAGGAATTTTCCTGGTACTCATTTCTGTTAGGGGCTGAGTCAATCCCAGGGCCATATTGCGGCAGGAAGGATTAGGTAAATTGATAAAAGTTCAATTACCTCATCAGGAATCGAACCTACAACTTTCCGGCCTGTAGCATAGTGCCTCAACCAACTGCGCTACTGCATAGCCCCCCATGTGTCAGTTTAATTATTTTAAATAATTGTAATTTTTTAGTAGTAATCATATTGGAATAATCATGTTAACAGAATTATTGCAACCATGAGTATGTCATATCATAGCAGTGGCTTTTAAGACTCTTTTAAGTTCAGTGTTTCAAGTAATGTTTGTGTCTCCTATATTTTAAGGATAAAATTTTGGGGTGAGGAATGCGCAGATGTGATATGCATAATGTGTATTGTACCAAATCTGACATGATGCAGAAGGTAAAATTTGAATGATCAACATTATTCAACCTCTCTCATGCACCCATCACCATAATTACCACCATACAGTTAACTCTTAGCTGCAGTGGTGTTAATGTGACTTAGTGGTTTAAATGCCTGGAATGTTGTTCTTACCTGGTGGTGAGTTGGCAGTGCTGCCCTGAAGAAAGGCATTATATCATGCACTGCCTACATCTGAGCATTACCAACTCCAGAGAACATAGGAAGTTAAGTTCAGCAAGTGATACGTTTAAATTATGTACTGTACTGTACATTTAAATGATGTACAGTGATTAAAGCCGGACTATGTTGTAAATATGTCTGTATCATATCACTCTGTTTGTAAATAACAAAGCTGCCATGGTCAGATGAAGACTTTCGTATGAACATCATGATTGTAATAGTCAGTGACATTCAATTCAATTCATTTATTTCATCCATAGCTGTAGAAATTACAATTGGACATGTCAGATAACAACAACATTACATCAAGCATAACATTCAAAGTACATGAATATAGAATAATAAATAATAAATACCTAAGACTAGAGAAAATATTTAAAACATATATACAGATTGTTTACAACATACAAACAGACTATTTAAAACATATTCCTGTACATATAAATAATTTATCTAAAACAGATTTATTTGTCAGCAAGCAGTCCATATCAACAGTTGTTAAAAAATTCCTGAAGAGAATAAAAGACGTTACACAACAAATAATTTTTTAGCTTCTTTTTAAAAACATTAAAATTATTTACACTTTTTAGTTCAGTCGGTAGGCCATTAAATATTTTGGTTCCCATACCAATCACCCCTCTTTTGCAGCGCTCAGTATTGCAAAATTGAACATACAGATTGTGTTTATGAATAGTATTATAGCCATGTACGTCAGAATACTGGGCAGTATATATCCTATTTTTTATTATAAAACATAAAATCTCAAATATATATAAGGAAGTAACTGTTAGAATCTTAAATTCTCAAAACAAATTTCTACAGGAGACTCTATTTCTTACACCTTTAACCACCCTTTAACCACCAACATGAAAAGTTGACAAGTGAGCAATAATTTTATATCATCATTAAATACTCTTGCATTGATATTCTTTTTCCCTGTGATGAGCACTATTTTTATGATAACTGGTAGTTTCTTTCATTTACCCTCCTTTGTGTCACTGCAGGCTCCTTTCTTGCATGTCATGAGATTCATCTGACTTGGGCCATACTGTATGAAATTGTAGCTGTAATTTAAGTAGAAGAGGCATGTGTAGTAGTTATCTTGGCATAAGGCCAGGGTCGTAATTTTTTTTAATAATTTTTTATATTTCTTGAAACGGTCTTGGATAAGACAGTACTAGAAAAGGTTGTTACTTTGTTGGTGTATCAAAATTTGAAATTAATTCAAGTCAGTGGATTTATTTCTGTAAGTGCAGAGTAGTATCTCATTAAACAAATGATAACTTGATAGGAGATGTTAGGTTTTGATGTTTTTTTATTTTGAGCTGTGAAAATATTTCCCAGCACATTTTACACATACATATAAAATTAATATACAAGTACAATATGTTGGATGAATATATGATATAACTCCGTTCTAAGTGCAAACTATATTTATAGGTCTTTCGTTTTGTTCTTCTTTATACACTACATGTTTCGGCCCCAAACGGCCATCATCAGGTGTATACACTCACGTATCTGTTACACTGCACTTATTTATAACATTTAAAATTTAAAAACATGGGTCTTCCTGATTAGCACTTATAAAATCTTCGGTTCTAATTTGAAATCCTTTCAAATTTTTTTCTCTAAATTTTAAATTTTAAAAATGTCAGGGGTACTCGCCCTATGTCTATAGTGCTGCAGCGTCTACTTCTTGTTTCTAGTANCATCAGGTGTATACACTCACGTATCTGTTACACTGCACTTATTTATAACATTTAAAATTTAAAAACATGGGTCTTCCTGATTAGCACTTATAAAATCTTCGGTTCTAATTTGAAATCCTTTCAAAGTTTTTTCTCTAAATTTTAAATTTTAAGAATGTCAGGGGTACTCGCCCTATGTCTATAGTGCTGCAGCGTCTTCTTCTTGTTTCTAGTATTGTATAGGTGTTATTCTGTGTAGTCTTCTTATGTGCGTGCCGCTGCTTATCTTTACTATGTAGTACTACGTAGTAGAATAACACCTATACAATACTAGAAACAAGAAGAAGCCGCTGCAGCACTATAGACATAGGGTGAGTAACCCTGACATCTTTAAAATTTAAAATTTAGAGAAAAAGTTTTTAAAGGATTTCAAAGTAGAACCGAAGATTTTATAAGTGCTAATCAGGAATATCTATGTTTTTAAATTTTAAATGTTATAAATAAGTGCAGTGTAACAAATACGTGAGTGTATACACCTGATGATGGCCGTTTGGGGCTGAAACATGTAGTGTATAGAGAGGAACAAAACAAAAGACCTATAAATATAGTTTGCACTTAGGACGGAGTTATATCATACATCGTATAAAGTGCAACAGGATGCTTAAATATAATAATGTTGGATGAAGTTTTGAACATATTCTAACCAAACTTATGTTTATTTTACAGGTATTTTTTGATTCATTGTATGGAACCAACACAAGTCCTAGGCTGAAGAATATGGCTCTGCAGTTTTCAATGCTTATAATTTTAGGGTTAGTTGTTAACTGTTTTGCTTTTATTCAATTTTTCTGCTCTAATTTAGCTCTCATGTTTAACCTTACTGTATGAAGTGCACGTATCATTGCACTGAAAGGTACAGTCTTCGTGATCAAAGTACACATATTCGTGCATTGGGGTCATTTAAACGCCACTCATGTAGCAAAAATGTGAATCTTGCAAACAGAATAATAAAATGAAAGTTTTTAGTGGTTCCAGATGTTTTACGACACCAGAGACAGCGAAAGTATGACAAGTGTTGCAAGAAGGAGTGATTATATAATGCAGAACCACTTTGTGAAGAAGGGGGAAACTCTTGTACAGTAGGCATAGAAAAGTACAGCTTTTTTGTAAACATTTTCAAATGTTATGTTACAGTATGTGACATTATGTTGTTTTCTGATAAAAAATAGGCCAATTCCATTCCTTTGTCATAAGAATTGTATTAGATACAGCATTTTTAATAAAGTGCTTAAAATTATTTAAAACTCCAAGCAGCAAAAGACATTTGAACACCCAACACCAGCAGGCATTTAAATGCCCAACAGTGGCAGTCATTTAAATAAACTCGCATCCAGCTCACCCTACCACCATTTAAAAAGTCAGGCATTTAAAGGATAAAATGTATCTCAATTTAATGGAAAGGCATTGAATTCTGAAATCTATATGCAAGAAAAAAAGTCATAAGATATTGGCAAACTGAAAAATGTCCATCTTTTTCCCCCATTTGTTTATTTATTTTTCAAGTTACTATTATTTTAATATGTTTATTTTAACATGAAAGTGCTGGTATGCAATACTTTTGGCCCTTGATAGAATCAGAATTTAATTCTGTCCTGTTAAGCACACATTTATGAACACATGGGAATGTGAAAAAGCAAAACCATCCCAAATATATGTAAGTCCTTTTCTTTCTAAAATGAGTGGCGGTTTGTTAGAATTTTACTTTACAGTGCTTATGTATGTAAATGCTAGTTATTCCAGAAAACTGTGGAGCCTTCTATTAAGATAATTTTAAATTGCAGTGCAAATATTCAGCGTCTCACCCCAGTTGCTGGAGTGTTACTCTCTGGGTTGCTGAAGCTGATAGCTGAGGATGATAACTCACTGAAGGTTCTGGCATATAGTGCTGTTGGGAAATTGGGCAGTAGGGTTCCTCGTGTAGTGAACAAGGACCTTGCATTGCTGCAGACATTCTTTGAAGCTTTGCTGCAGGTATGAAGGTGTGCCCATTGCAGAATGTAGACGGTCATGATTTTTGGACATTGTTTTATTTGGGTTCTTCATTTACGTGTTACAGCTAAATAATTGTGAACGAGTGGCATGTCATAAATTGTTGCTGTCCCACCGAGAAATGAAAGGCAGTTGTATTCACACAGCTTTAATGATGTGACAATAATAATTTGTTGTTACAAATTACATTGTATTGTATAACATTATATTTATCTTTTAACTCAACCATATCTTTATGGAATCTGTTCCTTTTTTATTTGTTGCAGTTTGTAACATAATTATAATTGTGAGGCATTGCACAAATAAAGAAACTTACAAATTTAAATGTTGAAAGACCAGTATACAGAATATGAAATACATTTTTTTGCATTTTGTGCCAGAACTTTAATAATCTCTTTCACTTTATATTTTAGGTAATTATACTAGAAGTGAGATATTTCTATTTTGTTTCATTAGGAAGATCAGGATATTCGAATGTCTGTCCGAGAAGCCCTTCTTAGCATGGTGGAAGCTTTCCATGTTGGACTGGATGATGAAAGCAAGGAGTGTTCTGATGTTAAGGCAACCACTGATGGCAGTGGTTCTGTTATCGGCGGTCAGTGTCAGACTATGATGCAGGCTTTGCTAGCGAATCAGGTGGAGTCAAATGAGCCGATGGCTAGATTTGTTGCTGTCAGATATGCAGCATCTGTCTTTCCATTGAACCATGCACCTTCAAGATATCTGCTGCTATTAGCTACTGGAGATAAGTAAGTCCTGATCATGAACTAACTAATGTAGAATATGGGCGGTGGGCATGTAAGACAGCCTTACCACTGTCTGTGAGCTGATTGTCTAGAAGATGTGGGAGCCTCGGCCTCTCACACCCCTATGGGCATTCATAGCCTGTTACAGGGAGAGTTTTACCTTTCTCACCTAGATTATATCATAAAATTAGAAAAAATTTGTTTGCCAAAAGAAAGTCTGTGTTTTCATTTTGTCACAAATTTATAGCAACATTAGAATAACTGTGAGTGAACTGGACAGAAGAAAGTGTAAATTGAAAGGAACATCACATTTCATGACACAGTTACACAGTGTATGATAATAAATGGAGTATTTATTTTATATGTAATTTGCTTTCTTTTGCTTGAAAACATACTTGAATAGAAGTATAATTAGAATATTGTTGATAGGTATTAAAATTATGCACAAAACACAGATTTCCCTGTAGTCGGTGTACGGTTTGAAATCGTCTTTTGGCAGAACAGTATTCATATTATTGGTAATGCATTGTACGGAAAGAGCAAGTAATATCTTAGATTAAAATTTTATAAGAATGGAGTGCTGGCTTAGGGAGAACATGAAATTCATGGAATTCTTTCAGGAAAAACGGAAAATGTATGGAGTTATGGTGAGGAAATCTCTTGAATGATAGCCATTGAGGAGGCCATGGAGGAGAAAAGGATGTTAAGAAAATTTGAGAAACTGAATTTGAAGATGTGAACTGTATTGAACTGATGGTGGGCTTTGGTATTGTAATGTATTTGATCAATGTGTTGCCAGGCAAGAACACCATAAACACGATACGCACATGTAACAATATAGCAAGCTGTGTTTTCTGTGTGTATGGTAGCTGGTGCAGGAGCGGTGACATCACACCATGCAGTTTGATGGATAGTAATAGCATTTTGGAGAATAGAAGAGACTCTTTTTACTCTGAAGATGAAGGTAACAGAATTCCCCAAAATGTTGGTATCTGTCTACCAGACTGCATGGCATCACAAATCAGAAGGCTAATTATCTGTATACTCTTCAGTTTATACTGTGTATTCGTTTTCCTTCTGAAAATTGTGTATGTAAGACATTCTTATTCATTACACTTAAAAAGTCATATGCATTTTACATTACAGCAGTTGAAGTATAATAGACATGTAAGCTAAACATGCATTTACTTTCAGTAAGGATGAGGTTTTTACTGAAGCTCTAAAAGCACTGTATGGCCCAGATCATGGAGTGGAGACATCTGAGGGAAGTGGAGTACTGGAGAAAGGTAGAAGTGAAGAAAGCCAGAAGCAACAGCAACAGAATTCTGGTACTAGTGATAAGAGCAGAGAATTAATTTTGCCACAGTTCTGTGATATGGCACAGTATCTTGCAGAGCGAGCAGTTATTCGGATGGAAAGCGCTGCTAGTCGTTATGTAATTGGGAATCACACTTTGCCATTCAGCCCTGCCAGTTTTGTGGAGGTGAGACATTTTTATTTCTTTGGCAGCAGAAATTTCCTCCTTGAATTTAGGTGTCAGAATATGGAAACAAAATAAAATATTAGAGCTACTTCTTAATGTCAGTTAGTTCTGTTAAATATTTGTATATGCTGTAAATTTGTTTCTCATAGTTACATTATTGTATTATCCTCTGAATTTTACTGGATAGAAACTTCTTGGCAATATTTTCATGAAACTGCAAAATATACTTACAGTAGTACCATTGTTTTGATGTAATTTTTTCTTCTGTTAACATTCAATTTCAGTGGTTTCATGTCATAATCTCAATTGTGTTATTTCCACCTAAGATTTTACTCACTATATTTTTCAAATTAGCTGTTCCCCAAAGAAATATTAAATGGAGCTTTCACTTTGTATACTCGTTACAGTATGTTAGGGGTAACAAATAATTGTTTCCAAGGAAAGTGGTTTTCCATGTTTTGTTAATAAAACTAAAACTTAACATCTATAGCTGCTTAATGAACAATGGCAGTTTTATATATAATTCACAGGTTTTATTTTATGACAATATTTTTGCTAAAATTTAGATCAGACTAGCCTTTGCATGAGTCATTACCACTAGGTTTCTCATTGTCATGTAGTATGTGTGTGACTATAGATGGGGTTTGGATTGGTATTAGTTTTATTAATCACTTACAGGACACAACTACAAATAACTATAACACAGTTGTTATTTCCACACTTTACGGTTCACTACAGCATACAGTCTAGTGTTCTTAGTCTGTTACTAGACATTTCCTGGTAATGGCTCCAACAGTGGCTATTCCTCTGCCTCCAGCTCAAGTCCTCTCTTCACAGACTCCCATATGGAACCGACTCTCAACTGACCAAGCTCCAAACCTTGTCTCACTTATAACCTCTTGGTATGGGCCATGTAGAAAACACAGCTCTCCCATTGTTGTAGTCCAACTGTTGCATTATTAAGAATCTGCAGCCTGGAAATAGGAACATATTTACAGAGCTGTAACCCACAAACAGCCCTTGTATATGCACCCATCTCATCATCATTGCACAGCAATGGCTCTACATGCTAAATTATGTATCAAAATTGTTAACTGTTTGTTTCTGCTGCAGATGCTGACTTACTTGCGTCTGTGCCTTGCTCGGAGCGCTGATGTGCAACTGAAAAAACGTGAAGTTATTCAACATCCTTCCCAGTTCACACCACTGATTAGTAGATATTTGCATCAGCTTCGTCAAACATTCACTGGCTGTGGGACTTTGGATAAATATCTGAGCTTGATTCAACAACTTCTGACAGCAAGTCCCAGTATTGTGCCATTGGCATGCCTACTAGAATTAGTAGGCAGTGCACCAGATATATTAGCAGGGAACTTTACTGGCAAACTCAGTTGGTTGAAGGTGATCAGTTTTGCTTATAATTATGCCTAAAGAGAGGCAAAAGGGGTTTGATACTTTTCTCAAGTCCAGTTCGGTCCACTCAGCGTGGCGGCCACTGATTGGCCTATTGTACCTGTCCCAGGTGATTATAATGATGGAGAATTTAGTGGAATGAAGATTGGCAGTAGAAACCGAAGTACTCGGAGAAAACCTACCCTATCACCACTTTGCCCACCACAAATCCCACTTGACCAGACCCAGGGTTGAACCCGGGTCGCTGTGGTGGGAAGCCAACGACTAACCGCTTGAACTATGGTGTGGCCTACAGGGATATTTACTTTACTTTACTTTACTTTACTTTACAGTAAACCTTAGACACGATGTTTAATAGGCCTGAGTGTAACAGTATTTCTGTTCCTTCCATGTTTTTACCTGAGGGTGGAGGTACAGCCAGCTGTATAAATGCTGTTCACATAGGTACAACTGAAGACACTGAAGAGTGCATGGTGGACATCAAATTACCAAACCATGGACATGTTGATATACCTTTAGAACTACATTACTAAAGCATGGGTTTTCAAAATGTCGAGTGTCAAGTATGCTGTTACCTTTTCAACATTTTGCCCATGGGCCCAGCCTCTATAAATGCATCCCCATATCTGACTCATCATTTCCCATTTTTTGTTGTTGTTGTGTTACTTTTCTAGAGCATTTTTCAAGGAATATAGTCATAGGTTAATAAACATGGTTACATCAGTGAAAAAAAAATTCCGTCATGTAGGCAAGAGTAATTGTTACAGTATTTCAGCAGGTTAGGCCGCACCATAACTCAAGCGGTTAGTCGCTGGCTTCCCACTGCGAAGGCCCAGGTTCGATCCCAGTTCTGATCAAGTGGGATTTGTGGTGGGGCAGGTTTTCTCCGAGTACTTCAGTTTCCCCTGCCAATCTTCATTCCACCAAATTCTCCATCATAATCACCCGGGGCAGGTACAATACGCCAATCAGTGGCCGCTGTGCCGAGTGGACCCAGTTGGACTCCACCCCCCACTAAGTGAATTTACAAAAAAAGTTATCTGAACAGGTTCTTTCTCTTGTGTGTTTAGTTCCTGTTTTAAGGGTTACTGCTATAAGCAGATATATTGGTAGCAGTGGTTTATAAAGAAATGATGAGAAAGTTGGCTCAAAAGGTGATGACTCTGATTTGTATTTGGGAGATGCCTGGTTCATGTCTTGGCTGAGACACCAGCTATCAAAACAGAGGTTTTTGTTGTTTTATTTAGGCTGTTCATGAAGATGCTGGGATAGTACCTTAAATTAGGTTATGACCATTTCCTTTCACATCCTTTCTAGTTTGTCATTCATTATCATCCAGTCACTAGACGATGTTTTTAAGACACAAATAAATAAGTAATTAGTTTTCACTGTCTTTCAGGGACTTTTGTTTTCTGCAAAGGAAGAAATGCGTGAGAAATCTGCACTTTTATATGGAATAATTATTGCTCATGGACTTGATGATTTAGCATATGAAGAAGCTGTGCAGGATCTGATAAATTGTGTGAAAAGTAAAAGTCCTTTGGAAGCTCAGCATGGTTGTTTATTGGCATCAGCACATGCATTGGAGAGGAAGATCTCTATAATGAAGAGAGATAATAGTTCATTGGTCAATCTTTCTTCCTATGCTGTTTACAAAGAAGGAGTTGAGGCAATAGGTGAGGTTTGTAATGGTGGTGTGGAAGTGTGAAATAGTGGCTAATTTAGGCTAAATTATATTCATAACTTAATTGGTCAGCACACAAAATATTTGATACCTGTCACTGTGTATTTGTCAATATGACTGTCATAAAAATAAGATACTGACTTTTTTGTAAACATTTTAATTATAGTATTGTCACATGTATGTATGTGACTAGATGGGTTATGGATAGGTAACTCTTCATAGTTACTGATGTGAGGTCCTCAAATCACACTTAACCTTTGAATCTTCACTACAGTTTCTGACTTAGTTAAAAAGTAAAGAATGATAATTAATTTTACTTCATATTATCACTTACAGTTACTATTTGTTCTTATTGAGATGCATTGCAGCAGCTTGTCTGTTTGGGACCAGACTCATTGAGAATGGTAGGTTCAACCCCTGATCGCATGTTACTGCAATTTTATTTGATCTTATTAAGATGCGTTGCAGCAGCTTGTCTGTTTGGGACCAGACTCATTGAGAATGGTAGGTTCAACCCCTAATCACTTATTACTGCAGATTTTTCTGTATGTATGTCAAAACTTAAACTCTGAAATATGTGTCACAAGCAGTATAAGATATGGATATCCTCTGCCAGCCATCATTTCTACCTTTATCCTCTTATTGTGAGTGGCATACTTGTCTCATGGGTCCTTTATTCTTATTGGTCAGGCAGAGGTATGGAGAGCTTTATTTTTCATCGAATGCAGTCCTCTCTTTGGGAGACTGATTGTTTGAAAATCTTGATTTATTTGAAGAGTACTATCTTTTGGGATATAATGCTATAAAGTCCATTGAAAGTCAACCAACGCTTTGGAGGAACACATCACCTTCATCTTCAGGGTAGAATAAGCTGAGCAAAATACCAATGTGAAAGCAGGTGGCAAGCTTGGTGATATGTTCCCTTGAAACATGAGATGACTTTCAGCAGACTATGAAGTGTTAATCGCAGAAGATGGTACTCTTCATAACCACAACTGTGAGAGCCTCAAATCCTACTTTATTTATTTGTTTTAGTTCAGTGATGTTAATATATGATGTGCTTATTGTGATGTCTAGTTTTCCACTTGAATCACCAACATGCATTACTTGTCCTGGCTTCCTGTATTGCTATTGGTGAACTGGCTCGCTGTGCTCCTTTACCACTCCCTAGCGGATCATCATCTGCTTCAGCGGAGGATAAAAATATGGCAATATGGAAGCTAGATTTGGTGAAGAAGCTGTTTGCAATTATGAATAATGGGAAGATAACAACTAAGGTTAGTGGTGTTAATAGTAAATGTACAGGTTGGATGACTTGAGTTTCAATTCCTAACAGGGCAATGAGACTTTATATCTTCAGAATTTTTTCAGAAAGGCCCTGGCTCCCAATCAACTTCTGTTCAACAGATGTAGGGAGTTTTGTCAGTGGGATTGGAGGGGGGGTTCCAGACTATGAAGATGACTGCTTATTTTCTGCAAGAGCTTTAGTATGTAATGTGTGGAGCATTATTGCCACATTCCCTAAATGTCATTATGACATTGTGCTTAAGCAGTACGCCTTTACGTAGTGAATATAACAGGTGAGAGAATGAAGTGAGATTGTGACAAAAGCACATGTGGAGGTATATTGACACATGTTCCTTCCACATAATGGACTTTGCAGTAATAGGTACCGGTGAAGTTCAGTGGTGACAGATACTCAGAATGACCAAAACAGGTGCAGTGAAACCCTCATTTAAGATTTTAGTTAGGGGAACAGTGGATTTCAATACTGAACCGAGGAAAAACTTCAACAGAAGAAATTTAATAGTGAGTGTATCAACTTGGGATCATCCAAATGAAACATTAAATGAAGGAAAACTTTACGTCATGGAACATTAAATGGGAATTTCTTTATAGTTTTCGGCTTTGGCAGCTTGCTCTTATGCGACATTTGAAACAGCAAACGTCTATGGATGATACATGATGGCTGGGTGTGACATATCTCTGGACTTACTGTAGCTTTTGAACAGGAGTATGAATTTAGCTCCCTCCTGTTTTATGAATGGGAGCTGGGATGGCACAGTCAGTATAGTGACAGGATGCTGGCTAAATAGCTGGGGTTCAATTCCTGCTGGATACAAGATATTTTTCTCTATCCCCCTCCATCCAGACTGGCTCTGTGGCCCACCCAGTCTTCCATCTAATGGGTACCAGTGACTCATTCCCCAGGGTTAAAGCGGCCGGGGCGTGAAGCTGTTCACTCACCACCACCTAGTGCCGATGTCAAGAATGGTGGAGCTATACCTTCGTTCCCATAATATGTCTTCATGGCATGGTGCTTAATTAAGCACAGGGACAACTTACCTTTTATTTTATTTACCTATTTCATGAATATCTGTTCAGCCTCTCCAGTGAGTGTTCTTTTGTGAATGATATGCCCGTTTATATTTCATCATGTAGATTTATTGATAGTGCTGTGTCATATTTGAGAAATAATTCATCTATATGTAAGAAGTGTTTTCATTTAATCTAAGTGAATGTCATGAATGTATGTGCAAATTACCTTAGCCATATCCAGTACGGTAGTAATGTTTCATTATTCAATTTCCAGGTGAAGGAGCATGCTGCTATGGCAGCTGGGTTCTTGTGTGTCGGGGAAGAATTCCCACATAGCCGCGACATCATTCAGGGCTTCCTTGACATGGCAAAAGAGGTGAACTGCATCATGCTACTGTGTATTTTGTTAATTGGTATTACTTCATCTTGAATAATTATCTAATCAAGTTATAATTTTGATCTGAAAAGTCCAAGCAGGGCAGAAGGGTTCGGAAGAGAGTACATGTAAATTATGTTTATGTATTAGGTGACAATGTAAACATTTAAAAGAAAAAATGTAATACAACTGGAAGGAATGTTGGTCTGAATATGAACATAGACAAACATAAGCATATATTGATATCTGTGACCAGAATAGAGGAAAAAAGTCAGAATTTAAGAACTGACAGTAAATCCTTTGAGAGAAATGCAACATATGTTTTCCATATGCTGTCTGTGTAATGAATACTTCTTTAGGCTTTATGTTCATATTTTTATGATACAATTTGGAGAGTTCCAAAAGCATCTCAGAACAGCATTGTCTAAAGTATAGTTTATGTTGAGATATATAATGCCAAAACATAGACACTCAAAAAGAGAGAAGAGACATCCAAGGAGTGAGTATTACAGTTTTGAGAAGTACTGAGGGGAAAACAAGGTGGGACAGAATTAAGATTTGTTAATGTTAATAGAGCTGAAAGAGAAGTCATTACAATTGTTTGGCCATATAGAGAAAAGTGATACATCAGAGATATTGATAAGGGCATCAGAGGTAAGATTTAAAGGAAAGGTAACTATGGGGCAACCCAGAACAATGTGGCTCAGCTAGATGTTCGAAGATATCAGGGTGAGAAGAAGGATCCAGCAGGAAAGCAAAAAGGAAAGAATTTGTGGCCCCAGTCTTGAGCCACTTGATAAACCAGATTCTTACACTTAAATATCTTCATGATCTTTTTAATATTATCTTCTCATCTTTGCATAAGTTATCTGGGGAGTTCCTTTGCTTCAGGTTTCCAGTTTGAAATGTTGCATGCTACATGTTCTATTGACCTCATCCACATTGATTTGATTATTATAGTAAGATCTAGTGAATAATGGATTCTGCATGATTTTTAATGATTTCATTTGCAACAGCATATTTTGTTGATTTGATGTTTTTCAAAAATGTATGAATTGTACTGCTTTACCTTAGACACGAGATGTGGAAGTCCACTTTACTGCAGGGGATGCTCTAGTTTGTTGTGTCCAGGGAGTTATGTCTCCCTTTGCTCGCAATGTGTGGACTACCCTTGAATCAGAATATGAGCCCCATGACATTGACGCTGTTCTTGCTGCCAGAAACCAGGACTTAGAGTGGTTGCTTGATGAACTGCTTAACAAATTTGCTCCTAAGCCACATCCAAATTCAAGACAGGTCTGTATTCTGTATATATGTGTTAATGAAACCCATATTTAAGGTTTCTTTCAGGGAGCAGTGGTTTTAAACATTTTGTTGATGAAAATCTTAAATGGAGGTAATTTATCTCTGAGAATTTGACTTGGGATCATTGAAATTGAATGATAAATGAAGGTTAACCTTAAGTTGAGGAACATTAAGTAGATGATCAGCTGTATCTTTATATTGATGTGCATTGTTACTTTACAGAGAGTATTTGGTTTGTTAAGTCAGTTTATTATTATGACTTTCTGTTAACAAATGAGGTCACCATGCCATTTCTGTATGTTTATATGTTTATTTTCCCATGTATCTTTACATCTGTTTTGATGTATATCAGTCTATTAATTTAGTTTGCAAAATCATCTCTGGATTGAGAAGAGCTGTGGCCATGAAGTAACATGACAAGCAGTGATGTAGAGAATGCTTATGAACTGCTTCAGGAATTTAGAAGTATGATTAGCCATATGTGAATTAAAGTGTCTGAGATCCCTGTTGTAGTAGGTATCAGATGAGTTAGTATTAAATATGTGTATGTTGGATGACAGCATGTAATAAAATAGCAAACTTACCTTGTATGATGAATGATTTCGAACAGTAAGGCGGCATTAGTTCTTGAACCATAATAATATCTTAAACGTTATCATAAAAACAAGAATGTATATAGTAAGTTGCTATCAAAATCAAGAACATTTGGCCAGATGTATGATAGTGTCAACACAACATAAAATGCAGTATGCTGGTCACATTTATGGAATGTGGATGACAGAATGGTGAGAACCACAGGCTTTCTTTGGTGAGTCTGAAATGTTGGACTACATTAGTGGATGATCTTTGTGCTTGGGCTCAGCCTATCCAAATCATCATTTTTTGTTGACACATCTTTTCTTTTTAATGTTTTAATATTTCGCTTAGTGGGGAGTGGAGTCCAACTGCGTCCACTCAGAATGGCGGCCACTGATTGGCCTATTGTAGCCTGCCCTGGGTGATTATGATGATGGAGAATTTGGTGGAATGAAGATTGGCAAAGGACACCGAAGTACTCGGAGAAAACCCGCTCCAGCGCCACTTTGTCCACCACAAATCCCACTTGACCAGTACTGGGATGAAACCCAGGCCACTGCGGTGGGAAACCGGCGATTAACTGCTTGAGCTATGGTGCAGCCTAAATGTTTTAATATAGTGTTTATCCCATTTAAAAGGCATCTGGGAGACCCCAAACAAATCATGAAATTTTACTGTGCAAGGTTTCAATGTTATCTTTATATATATGTATATAGTATATATATATATATATATGGTCCATCAGATGCACTTTCCTGTGCATACAGCTGTTCTAATCATGTGCAACAATTTGCTGACACTCTGCACCCAGACAGGGTACACATTGTCCTTCTCATTCCCTTTTCAGCATCTGTAACAGTTAGGATTCCTATACAAGCCCGATATGTGGGGGAGGTGAAATATGTGAAGAGAAATGAAAATTGTTGATGATCAGATTTACGTCACAGTTGTCAGTGGCGGATTGTTTTCACCCATATATAATTTCCTTTGTTCATATGCATATGAAGCAGTTTTGTGATGAGGGAAAGAAAAGTGCGGAGAGGATAGTGTTTCTACTGAGTAAGATATTCTAGTGTTCACTGTTGGAATTATGTCTCCTTATGCTTCCTTCTGTTTCCACACTCAAATGCGTAGTAGACCAGTGATGCACAGTCAGTATGGCAGGATCTCCAAAGCACGCACATCTGTTAGTTGAATTAGCATGTGCGCAGGGCAGTGTTGAAGAGCAGTGCACTGACGTTGACTCTGAAGAAGAGACTGAAGATGCCACATTTCAGGATCCATCATTTGCTGAAGAAAATAATGAAGATTTAGAGTGTCAGCACCAACTTCCCTCTTATAAGGCAGATGGGATCAAAGGGGGTTGGACAAAACCACTGCTTGTAGTTTACTGAATATTCACAACCTCATGACATCTTGTATTTTCAGACCATCCAGACACTAATTGTATAAGAGAGCAACTGATATATGCAGCAGGATGCACAAGCAAGAGATAAACAGATACATAAACAGTTGTGATATCCTGGTGCAATTAAAATTTAAAACTACTATTTTTAATTCTTCCATATACCAGACAAGGGTTTAAATGTCCTGTACTTAAAAATTTAATAACATTGACCTGACTATTAGACATTTGTGTTTGCTTTTTACTAGCTCCTTTATATACTGTGTTGTAGGGTGGTCATATGCAGTTTCAGCATTAATGCATTAATGTTCAGATCTTCTCCTCACAGGCAACTAGCATCTGGCTGCTTGCACTTTTGAAGCACTGTGCGAACCGTGAGCCTGTTAAGCAGAGACTTGATGTTATGCAGAATACTTTCATGGATCTTCTGTCTGAAAACAGTGGTAATGTATGTTGCTGATGATTAATGGTTTATAAAGCAACACAACAATAAATCTAGGTTTTATGTGAGAAGTTTTTAATCTGTGTACATACGTTTGATAATATTGTGGCATATTTGCTCTATGGAGAAACTGTTGACCCACAGAGGCCTCGGGGCACGCGAGCAGTGTGGGAGTTGCGGATTGTATCGGCGCATTGTTGGGTGACAACTCTGTGAATGCTTGGATGGCACAACAGGCAGTGCGAGTGACGTCACATACCCCACTCATCCCATAACTGTGCAATGCTTGGTAAACACCCCCCCCCTCCCAGTGCAGTGATGTAACAGCATAGGAGCCGCTGCCACTGCTTTGGCTCAACGGTTTCTTCATAGAGCCAATATGCCACAATATATTCCACTCTTAAAGAGTCCAGTATATAATATTGTGTTTTATAAAAAAGCATGTATGATAAATTCCATGATATCAAATTTTGATGCTCAGAGTTTAGTTCCAACAGCCTTTTAAATGATAAGCTCAGCTTGGAATTAGACAGATAATTTTGTACTGCCTGTGACTTCAGTAACATACATCACATAATCCTTTTTAACTGGTATTGATACATTTTTCATATTTACGGTTTTGATCTGTTTTGCTGATCTTTTGTGTTCTTGGGGCGGTACCTCAAGTTTTCAAACTGACAATTGGGAATGATATTTTCCACATAATAATTATGATCGAGTCAAGGTACGAAACAACTTCTGACATATTAAAAAGTACAGCTGTTAAAGGAACAGCATTCCTACATTCCAGTATAGTTCTGAGATATTGTGGAATGTGGACACAGGGATTCAAGATATATAAGATGACAGTGATATTTGTATCAGTTTCGTCTTGAATTTTTCTTCCAGTTACTTCAAATTGTATTTTATGTATCCATCATGCTTCATCCATTAGCAAATATTTTAGTAATTTTTCATGCGTGAAAGTTGCAACAATAGCTAGATTTGCTAATGTAATGTATGTTCTTTTATAGATATTGTTCAGGATGTAGCCTCAAAAGGTCTGGGTCTTGTCTATGAATGTGGTGATGAAGAATCTCGTAGTCGCCTCGTTAGTCAGTTGTTGGATCAGTTGATGTCAGGGCGTCGCAGTGTGACGCAGGTTACCGGTGATACGAAACTCTTCGAGGAAGGAACTCTTGGAAAATCACCAACAGGGTAAGCAGGTTTTTTTCTGTAATTTCCTTCTCTTATTTTGAATATTGGTACAGTTTGTGGGATTCTGGATGAATTAAATTACTTTTGTGACATCTTGGTTCCTTCATGGAACCACTCATGGAATAACTGGAATTGGTCCATGGTGTTTTTGTCCAACATCAGCAGCCAAGCAACAGATCAGCACTCTAATAAGTGTAACTGAAGTTACTGATGTCAACTCTGATTTTAGCATTACTTCTATATTCAGCGGTTGCAGATATTTATTAATATGTATTTGTAGAACTGTACAGATTGTGATATCATGTATTTGGTGACTAGATATGGGATTTGGTTTGGTAACTGAATTTATTTACCACTTTTTTTTTTTTATTGCTAGTGGGGTGGGACTAAGTCCCTTGTACTGCGACCACTTCTGGCCTATTGTACCAGCCCAAGATGATAGGTGAGGGTGATGGTGGAGCAATTGGTGGAATGAAGATTGGCAGGGGAAACTGAAGTACTCAGAGAAAACCTGCCCCAGCGCCGCTTTGTCCACCACAAATCCCACTTGACCAGACCCGGGATCGAACCCGGGCAGCCGCGGTGGGAAGCCAGCTACTAACCACTTGAGCTATGGCGTGGCCTATTTTATTTACCACTTACAGATTGTAACTACACGTAAACTATATGGCTCTTAATAATTCATGCACTCTACTTCTTATTACAGCACAAGCTAAATCTTTTATGTCTTCACTGTTCAATTCATGGTGACTAATCCCAACAGTGCCCTCTGCTTCCATTGTTCAGTATCTCCTGTCCTTGCTAGCTGGTGACTCATTCCAAACGCCTTGTGGCTGTATCTTCCTCACATTCTCAACTGACTAAATTGTCTAGTTCATGCTTGCTATGTAGTTTTGGCGTGGACCCGGTAAAAAGCACCATTTCCAACAGTTCCTTTCTTCTTGTGAGTGGGTCTGTTGCTGCAGAAACAAGCAGTCACATACTGTTTACCCGGCTGTTTAATAGCAGTGGATGGCTTCTCTTATTAAACTACACCAGCATCTTGTCACTTTATTATAGAATTCAAGCAGATTTTGTATGTGAATGATATTGTTATTTTAGGATTTTAAAGTAACCAGTGAAATTAAAGATGATGACAGAAGAGGTTTTGATATTTTAATAGATGCATGATGGAATACTTCTTCAACATAATGAACATACATGTGATATACAGCAGGATGTCCCTTATCATATGCCATTGTGAGTCATCAGTAGAAGCTCAATGTTAAGTGTTGTTTGCTGTTTGAAAAAGCAGTGAAACTTTCACTTAGAAGCTTTCTTTGGGGAGCAATGGATTTGAAGACGAAAGTGAGGAAAATTTGAATGAAGTTGATCACTGAAAATATTAACATTATTTCGCTGAAATTGGATGTTAAGTGAAGGAAAACCTTAAACTGAGGTAGACTAAATGGGGGTTCCACTTTATTCACTGAGGGTAAATCTACAGCTAGACTGCCATAATTTATGTAAGCTTATGTGAGTGCTTGCTTGCCTAAATTTACAGCTTTGGTGCTTACATGTGCTAAAACTTACCTGAGTAAATTTTGGATTCTGTTAAATTGGAATTGTTTATGTAGATGTTATATATGGTATATTTCCAGGACCCAGAATTTTCTTTTTGGTCTTTGTTAAAGAGAGATTTGTGACATTCTATGTATTAATAATATGTAGTTATTAAAATCATTTTAATTTGTTTTAACCCTTCAGTATTCATTAATACTCCTATATTGTTTGTTTCAGTGGTAACTTATCAACTTACAAGGAATTATGCTCTCTGGCTTCTGATTTGAACAAGCCTGATCTTATATACAAGTTTATGCAACTTGCTAATCACAATGCTATATGGAACTCAAAGAAGGTATTACAATACTCATCATTACTGCAAAGGCTTTATTGTGTGACCCAGTATGAAAAGCACAGAATGTTATTACTGACGGACTGTGTTTGCCAGTGCACAGCCTGACTTTGTACAGGAGCAGAATAATGAATTTTTTATTAACTTGTATGAATTCTTTTTCACTTCTGTGAGGAAGTTATGGGTTTCAGCAGCTGGTAACTGTTGACCTTCACCTTTTATATAGGTCTTTCTAAGGCTACTGAAGTGCTGTGTATCTTGAGGCATAATTTACATCTGTTACACTTTAAATGATTGTGGGAATTGAATTCTAATTGGAAACATAGCAGCAATACAAGGGTGGGTGTCATGGCAACAACTGAGATTGTTAACAAAGCTACTTTGGAGGCTGTTATAATGATGTGCTAAGAGGTTGGTGGCATTATGTGTACAGGGTGCAGCATTTGGTTTCTCAACCATAGCATCATCAGCTGGAGAACAGCTCTCCCAGCATTTGCCCAAGATTATCCCACGATTGTATCGCTATCAGTTTGATCCAACTCCAAAGATTCAGAACTCCATGACCAGCATATGGCATGCTCTTGTGCCAGAAACACAGAAGACTGTAAGTAATGACATGTTTGGTTAAGACAAAAGCAGTATTACAGGGTTCAATATTCTGAGAGGTCATAGTATCAGCCATTCTAAGCAAAAAAAAAAAAAAAATGTATAAGTACATGTGTCCTGTTTCAAACGGTTTTTGAGATAGAGCTATTTCACTGTACAGTTCCAAAATTGTTGATAAGAGAGATATAATGTACTGTTTCTAATACCGGCATTTATTGTTCAAGTGACAAAGTCGGTACAGCCTGCCTAGTATAATACATTTTCTAAAATTCCACTGTCATCAATGCATTTTGCAACTCATGTGAGGACATAGTGTGAAATAGCTCTATCATGGAAACTGTTCGGAATGGGACACGTGTACATACTTCTTTGCTTAGAATGACTGGTACTGTGGCCTCCCAGAATATTGACCTTTCCTCCTGGGACATGCTGTATAGGAGAGGTATATTAATAGTTCATATTGCAAACATTTTTAATGTTCTGAATTTGTTTGCTGTTCATAGGACAACATGATCTAAGTAGGTGTGACTGTCTGTAGAATATATATATATATATAGTCTTAAACTTTCAGATTTTTAAACAGTTGATGGTTGTATGCAGATTTTCTTAGCCAGATCCCAGTGAAATTGCTAACTGGTCTTTTACGGTTAAGAAAAGTCTTTTAACCATAGGCCAACATGAAATAAATTGCTATGGATAGTTCTTGATAATTTGTTACTGACAGAATTGGGAAACAATGGTATTAAACAAGATAATTTATGTACCAGAGTGAAATTTTTTCACTTGCATTTTTATTGCCTTGTTTGCATTGTTTTTGTGTTCAGATTGACTTGTACCATAAGGAGATCCTGGCTGATCTATTAGCAAACCTAACATCACCTCAGTGGCGTGTCCGCATGTCTTGCTGCCTTGCTTTGGCAGACTTCCTTCGAGGTGGTGGCAGCAAGAGCCTGTCTGATTCTGTAGATAGCTTTCCATCACTGTGGATGCAGCTGTTTCGTGTCATGGATGATGTTCATGAGGGGACAAGGCAAGCCGCAGGAAATACTACCAAGGTGTTATCAAAGGTTTGAAATATTCTACTTAATTCTCATGAAGGCAGGTATTGTAAATATCTTTATTGACTTCGATTTTAATTATTTATTTACTTCATATCCATGGATCATACATGATATAGGATATTAGAGGTATGTAAGTAGTTAAAAATAAAAACTGTGTATGAACTTCACTGGTAGTGATGGTATTGTATTAAATTGATATAATAATTTTATATATATGTGAGTGAGTGAAATGAGAACCTTAAAATTTTATTATCAGCTAATTTAATGCAAATAGGTTCTGCATAGAAGAAAGTCGTCTTCTGGGATCTGGCGCCGTGTATTCTTTGTTTCAGCCGAAGTTTCAGAGGAACGTATTGCCTCCATCTTCAGGGCAGGTGAATTGCATTGCGAATAGAGAGAGCAGTAGCTGTAATGATTAGGAAGTGAAAAGCGCTACTTTATATAGGAAGTAGGCAGGGGGGGTGGTTAGGGAGAGGGGACCAATGGGAACAGTGAAGAGCGATTAAGGCCATCTATGGTCAGAGGGGCGAAGGGGGGGGGGAACGGCCAGTGAATCCAGGCAACTTGGAGGTCAATGGCACGGAGGTGCAGTTAGAAAAGAAGAAAGCGGCCTCCGTAGTCTAGAGGTAACATTCCCACCTCATGACTCGTAGTACGCGGGTTCAAACCTGGCAGAGGTTGTGGAATTTTTAAGGGCGGAAAAATTCAGGGGAACAAGTCCTCCGTGGGTCCCTTGTCGTAGCTTTACAGCACGTAAAAGAACCTCATATCTCCAAAGGAGGTCACTGAGCCAAATTCAAGGACATTTCCCGCCCAACAGTAGTCTCTAACGCCTCTGATAGATGGGGGAAGCATTATAGATACCGCCAAGCCAGTAGAGGCCAAACTCGCTGGCTTGGTTGGGACTGATGGTAAGCACCAGTATTGGTAGGGTATAGAGACTGGTAGAATATCATAGAGGGAAGCACAATAGATCAAACTGGTCGCGGTGCATGGGGAAACCCACCCTCTCCAAGTAACTAACTAACTAGACAAGAAGAACCGGTTGGCTGGGGACAGGCTACTGATGTCAATGACATGATTAATGGGACAGGCTACTGATGTCAGTGACATGAAGAAGAGCTGGGGTGACTTGGTGGAGTTCTCTTGAGGGAAGAGATGAGAGGCTTCCATGACTTCTTGAGACAAAACCCTGTTTCCTTGCTCATGTTGTTCGGATGGAGCTCGATCTCAATGGCCTCCATGATTATGTGATCCAGGTAACGGCTCTTACAGGTGATTATGGCGGTTTTGTGAAACTGGATACAATGGTCTGGCTCGATGCTGTGTTCAGCTACGGCTGACTTGTCTGGATGTTCTAGGCGTAAATGCCGTTGATGTTCTTTCATCCTGGTGTCCACAGAACAGCCTATTTGCCCAATGTAGAACTTGCCGCACTCGCATGGGATTCTGTAAATTCCCAGTGTCCTCAGTCCCAGGTGATCCTTGACAGGCCGGAGGAAATTACCCGACGGCTCTCTAGGCCATAGAGTATACCGCAAACCCACACCAACCTGTATCTCAGTGCCAGGCCCCATCATCACCCTTCCAGTAAACAGGCAGCTCTTTCCACATTGGTACACAGGGCCAGAGCTCTGTGCGATCAAGACAGTCTGCATGCGGAGTTGGAGTTCCTGAAGGACATCTTCAGACAGAATGGTTATAGCAACCGGCAGATCCACAGGGCCCTCAACCGCCATCCCAACTACAATCAACATGATGACCCACAGAGACACTGTCGCCTTCTTGTCCTTCTTCAACAGGATCAGCAGAGTGCTGTCTCGACACAACATCAAATCAGTTGGCCTACCCCTTAAGAAAATATCTAATTTCCTCCGGCCTGTCAAGGATCACCTGGGACTGAGGACACCGGGAATTTACAGAATCCCATGCGAGTGCGGCAAGGTCTACATTGGGCAAACGGGCCATTCTGTGGACACCAGGTTGAAAGAACATCAACGGCATTTACGCCTAGAACATCCAGACAAGTCAGCCGTAGCTGAACACAGCATCGAGCTAGACCATTGTATCCAGTTTCGCAAAACCGCCATACTTACCTGTAAGAGCCGTTACCTGGATCACATAATCATGGAGGCCATTGAGATCGAGCTCCATCCGAACAACATGAACAAGGAAACGGTTTTGTCTCAACAAGTCATGGAAGCCTCTCATCTCTTCCCTAAAGAGAACTCCACCAAGTCACCCCAGCTCTTCTTCATGTCATTGACGTCAGTAGCCTGTCCCCTGTTAATCATGTCATTGACGTCAGTAACCTGTCCCCAGCCAACCGGTTCTTCTTGTCTAACTGCAGCCTCCATGCCATTGACCTCCAAGTTGCCTGGATTCACTGGCCGTTTCCCCCCCTACCATATATGGCCTTAATCGCTGTTCACTCTTCCAATTGGTCCCCTCTCCCTAACCACCCCCCCCGCCTACTTCCTATATATAAAGTAGTGCTTTTCACTTCCTAATCATTACAGCTACTGCTCTCTTCATGTCATTGACGTCAGTAGCCTGTCCCCTGTTAATCATGTCATTGACGTCAGTAACCTGTCCCCAGCCAACCGGTTCTTCTTGTCTAACTGCAGCCTCCATGCCATTGACCTCCAAGTTGCCTGGATTCACTGGCCGTTTCCCCCCCTACCATATATGGCCTTAATCGCTGTTCACTCTTCCAATTGGTCCCCTCTCCCTAACCACCCCCCCTGCCTACTTCCTACTATATAAAGTGGCGCTTTTCACTTCCTAATCATTACAGCTACTGCTCTCTGTATTCGCAACGCAATTCTTCACCTGCCTTGAAGATGGAAGCGATACGTTCCTCCGAAACGTCGGCTGAAACAAAGAATACACAGCACCAGATCCCAGAAGACGACTTTCTTCATATTCATCGCCATGAAAACCTCAAAACTTACATAGGTTCTGCATAGCTTTGTCATTTTTGATCATAGTCCCCATTGCGTTCCAGGCGTGTCCTCCAATACTTCACAAATTCCTGGATTCCTCATGAAAAAATCATTAAGACTCATGTGTAGCCACTCTTGCATCACCTCGTGCACTTTATCAGGTCTGAAAGTACACAAAGAACTTCGTTCAGTGGCCCAAAGATATGGTAGTCACAAAGGGCAAAGTCAGATGAGTACGGCAGATGAGGGAGATGCTAGAAATGAATGTACATGTTTGCCTCAGCCTGGCAGTAGTCACAGATGCCCCAGTGTTCAAGATTACAATACATGGTTGGGCACCTATCTAGCTCTGGGCGTTCAGGCTGTTGTCACTTCATTCGGCCAAATTGTTAAGTGTGAAGGGCAGGGCCAGTGACACTGGTGGCAAGGAATTTTATTTTGATAGTATACATCTGAATTGGACTGCTTTGTTAATATAATTAAAATAATTTTAGTCATAATTTCCATTGTACTAGAAGTTCTGTGGGATAGATACATATATTTTGCTTTTGCTGTCTGCTTCATTTAATTGTGTGTGATATGCTTGCTTGCATTAAAATTTAGAACCTCCTAATTCTCTTATACTTTAGATTACACCGTATGGGGACCTTTAAAGTAAAGCCGAGTGGCCAAAAGGGACCGTATGGGTATGCGCAGTCCACGCATGTGCACAGTGTTTTAAAATCTAATTTTAAGATAGAAATTCTTGTTCTACTTACATTATTTTTGGACACCAGCTTTATAAGTAACTGTCTTCCCTCTTGCATCATCTAACTGAATGTTGCATGTCACTGAATGCAGATTCCGACGTTGCAATTCATGCACTTTGTCCGTAATTAACTCTGTTTTCCACGCAAAGCGCGCACATGCAATGTTAGTCTCGTATTAGCATGAAGTAAGCCAGTGATGGCGAGTGGTGTCCTCTATTCATAACGCTTATAAATCATCGCAATTTCAACTATGCACCATGGCCCATTTTCGCAATGAAGAAGTCTAAATTCAGAGGCCGCTTGTAAATCACACCATTCAGAATGCGTTACAGTTTATTCTGAAGGGAAGTGGAAGTAAGTGGTATGAGGTGATATTCCAAGAACTGCCTCTGTGTGGATAGTCCAACATACATGAATAAACAGAGTTTCATAAGGCAATGTAGGATAAGAACTGCCCACACTTGTGTATACAAGAAGCCCACAGACTGGAGAATGTGCAATGAAAACAAACATTCTCTCTCCTCCAGATAACACATAGTCAGACCGTGAGTCAGAAGCATGCATTTATACTGCAGGAAGGTTTTGTGCAGAAGCTTTATGCATTTTTATAGACAGACACTCAAAATTGGGGCAAAATTATTTTTGGAATCAATGTAACAATTTTTACAGATTCTGAAATCTGTAAATTACAGTATCTGATTCTATATACTTTCTAGATAAAAGTAGCGTTTATTTCGTTCGTTTATCACAAAAAATTGTAGAAATCACAGCATTTTGAGTAACATGACTACAGTTTTTATTACTTTACAATGGCGGGCATTTAAATTAACTCCGTCCTGCTGCCACTACCAGAATTTAAATGGCCCGTCCCATAAAGGTTAAAAAGATGCTGAGGAATCTTAGTTCCAGAACTGAGTGCTCATGTCTTCTTGTCTTGATAGTGAGAGCTTGTGGGATGCTCTTGAATCATCTGTTTGTATGTTCCAGTTATTTGTTCGTTGTTGTGATGTGAGCAGTGGGAAGGCTGGTGAGGAAATGCTGCGAACAATTCTGCCTGTCCTGCTTAATTCAGGAATCTGTAATCCAGTGTCTGAAGTACGAGCAATTAGGTATGAAATTTTTGCTGTAGGAAGCTGTGTTTAACTATGTTATTGGAATGAGAAAGAAGCCAAGATAATCTTTTAGTCATATATTTTGTAGTAGTGTATAATTTAATTTTAATTTGTATCTGAACTTTGTATATTGTTGCTGTGAAATTTTTTTAAGTTTCGTGGTAATGTGTTGTGGTTGTAAGAGTTTACAGTACTCTCATGGGTCATAGTAAGAGTTGCATTATTGCTGTGAGTCATATTATATCCTCACATTTGCAGATATGTGAAAATTGAAACTTGTGTCCTCATTTATAGTTTGCAAAGCATATCACAGCTGGTGGGATCAACTGGGACTCTGCTGAAGCCTCATCTCCCTCTCCTTATACCTGCTCTCCTTGAAGCTACTGGAGAATTGGAATCTCGTGGCCTTAGTCAACTGAGCGTACAGTTTGGGGCGGAACGCCAGACGCAGGAAGTGATAGATGCTGTGAGAGCTTCGGTTGCTAAGAGCCATTATACCACTGAAACTGTGGCAAAGGTACTTGCAGACATTTAGTTAAATATGTACGTAGTTAATGTATGCATGCATGTGTGTTATGTTAAATTGTCTTTCAAGTACAAGATGATCAGTATACTTTCCTTCACATACCTCAGTCAGAATTTGATAGGAACAATAAATTAATAGTACAGTTTAATGATCTATTTCTGTGTTACACCAGAACAAATTCTGGCTGCACACAATTTCTCCAATATGTCTTCAGAGTTTTTCACTGTTGCCAGTTTTGTTATTAACTCCTACAAAGGGTTTCATATGGAGTTTGTAGGAACTGTAATCTACTTCCATGCAAAATGTCACATAACTAGATCTAGTAGTTCACTAGTTAACCATCATCCGATCAAAAGTGAAATACAGGTATGGTTCTAATTATGTACTTCGTAAGTTATGGTTGTATAATCTAAAGAGCTGTTTTATGATTCACAGTGTCTTCAGTATATAGATGCAAGTATTTTAGGTGAGCTGATACCAAAGGTGCTGGAACTCATGAGGAGTTCTGTGGGTCTTGGAACAAGGGTGGCATGTGCCCACCTAATAGTATTGTTGACTTACCATCTCAAGCAGGAATTGCAGCCATATTCAGGTGAATATACTTAGTTGTAAAAATTATTATATATCCTGATATATAAAATGGATAATGGTTTAGGAAGGAGAAATTAAGAAATGTATTATTTCTAAATTTTTTTTTTTGCTTGATGAACAAAATTATTATTAAGTATAACAGAATTAATTATCTATAAATTGCTTAACTGTGGTTCTGATATTTGTATACCTCAGTTTTATCATACTCCCCATTTATAAGATGCACTGGCGTATGAAGAACTGATTTTTCAGACTGTTTTTGAGAGTAAAAAATCTTATCTTGTAGACTCAGAAATATGGTGTGACTAGTTAATGTGTTTATGGCAGCATGGTTACCACTGATCTTATTTATGCCTTCTGTCAGTTTTGATTCATTTTTGTCATGACTTAATCAGCGATTCCACTTGTTCTCTGTGATTAGTATGAAATGATGAGCACAGTGCTCAGTACAGTAAACAGTTTACTGATTAGGAATGTAACATTTCTTGGATACGTTTTCTTCATCATCGTCAAAGGACATTTTTGCTCTCCCAGTTTATCATTTCTTATAGCCGTTTTAACTGTCATCTTCTGTACATTCTGCCTTGTATTTACACCTGCTAACTGTATGTATGTGTGGGTCCATGCATGTATACACATGCACAGCTGCACACTTTCTCACACTCATACCCACTTCACTTGAGCTTATTGGCTTATTCAGTCATCCAGTCAAGTCCTGTTTCTGTTTCTGAAACTGCTCTCGGTATTCCAGTTCAGTTTGTATGATGGGGCAAGACCATTCCTGTTGTGATATCTGCAGTCTTCTTCTAAGAGCTTATTTGAGCTCTGTGTGTCATTTCCTCAGTTCTTATTCTGTCTGGATTATCATGTTCTGAGGAATCTCATCTCAGCTGTATGTTTCCAATATAATTCTTCTTTATCTCATGACCACATTTCAAGTCTGTATAGTAGTATGTTGGATAATAACAGGCATAATATAGTTCAAATTATTCAATTCTGTGTAACAGTTTTGGAGAATGATTACTTATGCTGTAGAATATTGTAAAAAGTTGTTGGTGTGAAGAACCACTGATCCTGTTTACTTTCTTGCCTTGTCATAGGGAAACTTCTGGCAGCCCTTGTGAATGGTCTGACAGACAGAAACGCTGTGATCAGGAAGAATTATGCTGTCACTATTGGCCATTTGGTTAGCACTGCCAAGGATTCTAGTCTTGAAAAACTCTTTGCTAAAATAAAGACTTGGTACTTTGAGAAAGAAGGTAATAATAGTTAATTTATCTTGCTCTGGTTCTGAAGATGATGAAATCTGTCCTTTATATGTAATTGAAAATGTAAGTAATGTTATTTAGGTGTAAGAAACATAATTTATATTTATTTAAATTATGTTCATAGATGAATCTGTGAGGTCAGCTTGTGCATACACGTTGCAAGCAATTGGTCAACACAATCAAGATATCCTGAAGGAACACAGTTCAGTTGTTATACCATTAGTGTTTTTTGCAATGCATGCCAACAAAATTCCAGGTAAGATGGTATTACTGGCATTTATATTAGAGTCCTTTTACCCTTTCTGAGCCAGATCCTGCCATATATAGCTATCACTAGAAGTGCCAAGGCTGCTAGTGGGTAAATGCAGTTGCACTGAAGCCCCACAATGTTTCTTCAGATTGTCCTCAAGTGACCACAGGTATAAACAGCGAAATGGTCTGTTCTTTCCTCCAAACTTCATAATATTACACTTAGTGCCTTATGCTGACAGAAATGCTATGCTGAGTGATTAACACCAAGCTGGTGCCTTTGGCTGAGGTAATTCTAACATAAGTATGCCAAGGCAATGTAATCAAACAATGACTTGCAAGGGTTTATATCCATCTAGGGACTCAGATTACGTTTTACTTTTCATAATGGTCACATGCATGCAGTACTTTCAGGTATACTTTTAAGAAATTCAATGGAAATTATATTTATTGTTAAATTAAATTTAGCATCTGATTTTTGTGGACCCTGTCCAAGTCTCTTTACCTGAGTATTCAGGTCCATCATGTCTCTCAGGAATCATAAATGGGGATTTTTTTTTTATTGCTAGTGGGGTGGGACTAAGTCCCTTGTACTGCAGCCAGTTCTGGCCTGTTGTACCAGCCCCAGATGATAGGTGAGGGTGATTTGGAGCAATTGGTGGAATGAAGATTGGGAGGGGAACTGAAGTACTTGGAGAAAACCTACACCAGCGCCACTTTCTCCACCACAAATCCCACTTGACTGAACCCGGGCCACCGCGGTGTGAAGCCAGCAACTAAGTGGCGCTGGGGCGGGTTTTCTCCAAGTACTTCGGTTCCCCTGCCAATCTTCATTCTACCAACTTTTCCACAATCACCCTCACCTATCATCTGGGGCTGGTACAATAGGCCAGAAGTGGCCGCAGTACAAGGGACTTAGTCCCACCTCGCTAGTAATAAAAAAGAAAAAAAACATTTGAGCTGTGGTGTGGCCCAATGGGGATTTTACTATTTTGAAGAGGGAGAAGTGTAATATCTGGACTTTGATTAATTTTTGTTAAGGCGGCTGTATTCAAAGTGTGTGTTTGCAGTGTACAGTCGAGAATCCACCGTCAAATGATTGATAAAATCTTAAGTAATTTCTGTAGCAGATGCTGGATGTGTAGACTTTGTGGTAGTCTTATTTTGCAGAATGCTGGAAAGTAAGGTAGGATCTATACTTTTTAAACTTTATTGGCTATACATTGTACTATTGTAATGCCACTTGAATACAGTTTTGTCTGTCTGTACCTACATTATTTCAGTGTTAATACCATATCTCTGAGTTAAAGCTGATTGTCAACCCCATAGTACTGGGCAGTAATGTGGAAAGGCAGTAGATGATCAGAAATTACAGATTAACTTTGAAAATAATTTAAAATTAACAGTCAGATACCGAATAATGTAGGCAGTTCAGTTGCACTTGAGATCGTGCAATTTATTATCCTTCTTTTGATCATTATAATTATTACGGACTTTGAAGAATATTATTGACATAACTTTTTGTTCACATTGCTGTATTTGGAGGCATTCTACTTTTTCTTGATTTCTCAAAAACTTCACTTCCTAAGCTTGTCCCTACATGTCTGTAATTTAAAAATTAATAATATTTATGTGAATATTACTATTTAATAATAAATATCAGAAGTGAATTTAATGGATTTAAATACAGAATACTGATGTCGAATTTTAAAAGTGTCATGATTATGTGTGGCTGATGTTATATGCTGAAACAAAATGCAAGTTATCAAGAGAGGTGCAGTAACAGCTGTTGCTTGTGTGCAGATTAACATGTTAGTTTTGTAATCATTACTGCCATATTGGTTGCATTGCAGAAGGCAGCAGTGTTGATGTTTGGGAAGATGTATGGCATGAAGCAACCGCAGGGCCAGAATCGGGAATCAGGCAAAATATGTCTGAGATTTGTGGTCTGCTGAAACTTGCTTTAGAATCTCCATCGTGGACAATGAAAGCTCAGGTGAACAAAATAATGTTCTTTTTTATTATGTCAGAAATTTTAAAGAAATGTTGGGAGAATGTTAATATTGTTGAAGATGTTTACTTTGTGTTCTGATGTGAAGTAGGCAACTAAAACTAAGTTCATTAAGCAGAATCCCTCTTGAAAAGCTGATAGTCAGTTACTCGAAATTCCTCACAATTTCTGGAACCAAAAAATTTAGTGTCCACGAGAGCCTGACACTGGTTGTCCTGAGACATGAATGGACTCTATACCCTTCCACTCTGTTCCTTAGGCTCATTTTACTGACCTCTACCAAGTGATCTCTTCCCTTGTTTTCTGATCACGATATTTTATGCTTTTCTTATATATTCCATGTGTGATACTCATCTTGCTCATCCAGTCTTCCTAGATGTTGCTGTCATAATAATGATTGATGAAGAGAAGAAATTACAATTCTCATAATTATGTAATTTTCTGCTTCCTCCAGGCATAGCATAATATAAAATAGACAATGCTGTTTAATTTACCCTGTAATCATTAAAATGTCAGCTAGAGAAGGGCAGATAGTGGTAAAATAGTTTTTGTTGAAGTAGGCATGAATCTGATTGTACTTGTGCATATGATCATAAACATTAAGGTGCAATATGATTATGTGAAGTAAGTACACGTACCTTAGAACACTTGTTTGATGGCAATAATCTGTTCTCTAAGTTAATAAAATGAAAATGCCACTGCTTTAGGGCTATATCTTCAAATATTATGCATACAATGGTATTCTAATTTAGTCTTTTATTTCATTCAGTGGTGAATGAGTTCCTTTTTAATAAAATTAAAAATTATATGATGAACAAATAAAGTTATTAAACTAAAGTTTGAAGAACAAAGAGTACTTTAAATTACTGTTTTAATTTCATGTTGGTATCAGGAATTTAAGCCACTGGTGTTTATTTAGGCCGCAAATGCTGTCAGTACTGTGGCAACCAAGACTGGACAAACCATGTCGACTGAGCATCGTAATTCACTAATTAATATCCTAGTGACTGGTTTAAACGGACGAACATGGAATGGAAAAGAGAACCTTCTAAAGGCCCTGGCTACCATTTGCTCCAGTTGCAAGTATGTTTATAGATGTTTTGTATTTTGGATTAACATTACCTTGAAACTTTGAGTGTAAGTCAAAGAAAATATTATTTACAAAAATGCAATGAAATACAGTGTGTTTCACGACTTTAGGGCATAACTGCAGGAGGTGATTTCCTAGGTCTTTGTGATCAAAAAAGTTCACATAAACATGTGTCCAATTTTGGAAGGCTACTGACGCTGATCATTCTGAGCCCTTATTTATTTGGATGATTACACAGGCCAACAGCTGTTTTGGTGCCGGGGTATTTGGAGCTGATTTCATATGAATTTGATGCCCTGAATTCAAATATGGCATTAGTTTTTGCCTAGGAGCTCAAATTTTTAAGATATAACATTTTGGTGAAATATACGTTACACTATTTTAAGTTAAATCAGTGGATCAAATAAAAAAACTCAACATGGAATTTTTATTACTATATTATAATTATATTTTTATTTTATTATATTAAATACAAAGATAGAGGAAAAAATCATCGACTATATATAACAGTCAAACCAACTATAGTCACGGAACACTACGGAAGCTTCTTTTTCGTGACTTTCTTGAATGTATTTTAGAACAGTCCCTTTTTAAACTCCAGCAGTAATCTGCCATCATGTGTGTATCCCATCTTCCTTGGTAGCGGTCCTCCATAGTTTTAATATCCTGGTGAAATCTTTCACCTTGTTCCTCNGGTAGAAACAGGTGGAGCAGGGATAGCACCATTCCGACTGTGCCGATACAAGCAAAGGCGGGTTGGAAAAGAGCGGTGTTATGACCGTTTTTTCATTCCCGTACACACCCTCATGTGAACCGCGTCTGTCATCTGTTGGGTCACTATTTTTAGCCAGCTACAGACAGAGCGTTCTCGTTATCTCGACACTTGAGATGTACCTAAGGTGGGGAGGGTTTGTATGTCCGGCGCAGTTCACAACCGAGTGGCAGCCTGTGTTGCAGCCGGTGGTGGCATTTTCGAAAATCAGCTTTAAGCACCAATAAATTCAAATGAAAGGTAATTTCACGAAGTTAACGTTACATTCATACTTTAAATGTATCATGTATTATGCTGGTTTATTATTTTGTTCCGTTTGTTGTCAGTAATTGTTACCTTCTATTCTGAGTTTAAAACGGTCATAACTCTGTAACCGTCCAAAATTGGACACATGTTTATATGAACTTTTTTGATCACAAAGACCTAGGAAATCACCTCCTGTAGTTATGCCCTAAAGTCGTGAAACACTCTGTATATGGGGTCAGCATCTTTTTATCTGTGTCATTGGAAGTCCATTAGATGTAGTTATGAACATATAATTTGTTTGGCATCTTTTTGCTATATTGTGCTCTGAAAGGAGTTAATGATTACTTAAACATTAGATTGAAATGGAGCTTCAAATATATATAGTGTCTGGCAGTTAAATAACTAGACTGATTCTGTAAAGAAATATGTAACTATCACTAAATTCATATAGTGCATGCTGCCTTACTTTCTTCATGCATTGTAATGCCTGTGGTATACCTGGAAATTTCTCTGAATGTGTTCAGGTTATTCATAATGAGACCCTTAGCAAAAGTTTTAGTTTGGGCATATGTAAAAGTCATGCAGAGACAGATTGAGAGTGGTTAATGTTCAGACAATGGTACCATATTTACTTGTGGAATTTCCCCCTTTGCATAAAGTTAACTTTCTTCACATTTTAAGTTGTAATATTAAGGTATATTTCAGAGTGGAATTAGATGTCTACTAATAGAAACTAGTAAGGTAAGCGAGTTTTCCCTGCACATAATTAATTAAGCACTACACCATGAAGATGTATGAGGAAGTGGAGGTATAGCTCCACAATTTGTAACCTGGGCACTAGATGAGACTGAGTGGTCACCTTCGCCCCTTCTGTTGTACAAAGAGAAAAAGTCACCAATACCCATGGGATAGGAAGCTGTGTGGGTTCTGGATTCTGCGAAGAAGAGAGAAATCTCTTGCCCTCTCTGAGAATTGGACAACTATTCCTTGGCCGTCCTGCATGTAGTGTGTCACTGTACTGACTGAAATATCCCACTTGTCATAATTCAGTAATTCATACTAACTGGGAGTGAACCCTTGTGTCAGTGAAGTCCAAATTATAGAGGTGCTCATTTTAAGACGGAAAATACACTACTAAACACTAAAATGAAAGTAAAAAGAAGACCTACTGAAGCACTAATACGCTCTGTTCACATAAATGTAGAATATTTTAGGGTAGCTCTTTGTGTATCTGTTCTCTCTTGACATATTTTCTAGATCTAGGAAGCTTTGACTTTAAATCTCTTTTAAAATGGCCTTAATGTTTGATGTGGAACCTACATGTGGCTACTGTCTTCTGTGCTAGCACTACATTGGCAACAGTGTGATCATTAAGGTTTGAATTATCGGGAGTTCCGAATTAGTGAAGTTTTATTGCATGTGTTTATATTTTTTGCTGTGTTGTGTTTTAAGGATAGAGTTGAAGCAGGAAGAGCTCAGTTCAGTGGTGGATACGATAGTTGATGCTATGTTGAAAGAATGTTGTAAGGAACAGCTGGCCTATAAGCAGCATGCTCTGAAAGCATTGGGTGATGCTCTTTCTGCCTTAGATATTGACCGCTTTGACCAAGTTTATTCCATTGTTGAAGATACATTAGCTAAGGTAAGGAAGTATTTGATGTTGAAAGAGAGAATTACGAGGGTCATACTGAAAGTCATGAGCAACGATTTTTTGTGAAGTAACATGCTTTATTATTGACAAACCAAATACACCACCTCAATCTACAGACCTTTCTTTATTTTGCAACTTAATCACCACGTCTTTGTACACATTTCTCCCAGCGTTCTGGGAGTTTGAAAATTTCCCTTCTGTAAAATTCCGTTCCAGACATTTGAAGACACTGATGCACTACTTTCTGAATTGCCTCCCTTGTCTCAAAACGTTGTCCACACAGCTGATCCTTCACAAATCGAAAAGATTGTAGCCGGAGGGTGCCAGATCAGGGCTATAGGAGGGGTGTGGAAGAACTTCCCACCCCATCTTTGCAATTGCTTCCAATGTGAAGCAAGCAGCGTGGGGGCGAGCATTGTCATGCAGGATGATGATGTTTCGTCCCGGACATTTATCGCCAATGCACGATGGAGCTTGTGCAGCATCTGGACATAACGAGCAGCATTGATGGTTTGCCCAGGTTCCAGGAATTCAGCCTGAATAAACCCCTCTGCATCCCAGACGACTGTGCCCATCACCTTTGCAGCTGATTGCACTGTCTTTACCTTCTTTTTTTTGATGGAGAATGCAAGTGGTGCCATTCCATACTCTGCCATTTCGTTTCAGGCTTGAAATGGTGGAAACAGCTTTCATCACCTTCGTGTCGATATCTGTGCAGCAGTTCTAATGTGATGGCTTTTCACTGACCTTTGTGGTCTTCGGTCAATAACCGTGGGACCCAACGAGCACAAACTTTCCTATAGCCCAAGCTTTCAATCATCTCATGTACTGCACTGTACCCTATTCCAAGTTTTCGGGCTATTGTGTCCACAGTCACACGCCTGTCATCTTGAATGATCTCATCCACTCCTTCCATGTTGGGTTCAGTTGAGGCTGTTTGGGGACAACCGCTCCGAGGCTCATCTTCGATGCTGGTGTTCCCATCTCTAAAATGTTTCACCATCTTCGAACACTGCTCACACCCATGCACACACTTCCATAAGCACGCTGAAGTCTCTGGTGAATTTCTGCAGCAGGGATTTCCTCTTTCACAAGAAATTCGATGACAGCACCCTGGCAAAACGACATATCAGCCATTTTGTTAGGAGTGATACTGGTCATGTGATGCAAGCTATTGATGTCACAAAGACACTCAAGGTTAACACAACAGCTGGTTCCACCTACCACCATACTCTCTTTCGTCTGCTGTTTTCAGGTTGCATGCAAAAGAAAGTTGCTTATGACTTTCGGTACGACCTACGTATATAAAATTTTGGAAGTATATATGATGTCTATTTGATAGAACAAGCAAGATATTGTACAGAACTATAAGGTTTATTTTGGACTCTTTCCATTGTCTGGTATATAAGACAAAAAACCACAACGTTTCGGAGACTGCATCTGTCTCTGTCCTCAGGTGGATGGGCCAAGATAGATCTACTCAGTTGGGCCCATTAGAAAGAGCTAGTCTCAATCACTGGAAAGACTAGCTCTTTCTAATGGGCCCAACTGAGTAGGTCTATCCTGCCCCATCCACCTGAGGACGGAGACAGATCCAGTCTCCGAAACGTGGTTTTTTGTCTTATATAACAGACGATGGATAGAGTCCAAAATAAACCTTATAGTTCTGTACAGCATACACCATCGTCAGAATCCTTTCAAGTCTGAGCAAGATACTGTTAATTAAACCCTAGAGAATATCAATTTTACACGCACTTACAAATTGTTATGATATCCTAATTGTCTGTGTGGTTACCACCAGATTTCTACTGAAAATGGTGAATGATAAATATATAATAGAGAAAGAATAACTATTCTCTGAACTTAAAATGTATGTATGGCCTTTGGCTCAACTTACCACCTCAGAAATCCCATCAGGTATGGAATATCTTGAAGCACGAATAATCACACAGTTCTACCTAACAGTCAAGGCACCAAGTTTTGTATAAATACATTTTCTTCAGCGCCTTGCCCTATTTTTGGTAGGTAGGATCATTTCAAAGAAATATCTTGAAAAGGCATTAGAATAGAGGATTGGTTGAAGGTTTGCCGCATGGTGGAGATCTCAGCATTCATTGTTTGGATAATGGCTTTTGCACTGTGCTACAAGCCAGAAGGTCGCGGGTTCAAGTCCTGTTGAGGTCATTGGATTTTTTTCAATTGACCTATTCCTTCCAGCCACACTAGGCCACACTGGGGTTTACTCAGCCTCTAACGGAAATGAGTACCAGGGATTAATTAAATAATTTCCCTGTGGAGTAAAGCGTGGCTGGTGTGTAAGGCTGACAACCTTACCGCCATCTGTGAGCCGACTCTCTAGAAAATGTGTGACCCTCAACGTGTCACAACCCTATAGGGCTTTCACGGCCTGTTACAAGGATAGCTTTATTTTATTTAATTTTTTTTCCTAGATCAGATCTGTAGACTTCTGACAAACATTTTTATTTTGGGTGCAGTAGACTATGAATGAATTATGAACTGTCACATTGAGGATTCTTGTAAAGAATTTAATGTACCACTTCTTTCCTCTCTTCCTTCCAAATAAGTATTGCTGCAGCTTTTGGTTTTAAGCTTGATCCATCAGTTGCTACATTAGGTAGGCCGCACACCAGCATGCATCAAGACATGTAACATTCAAGACGTAATGCAAAGAAAGGAGCACAGTTGAGGCCTCATTTCTTCAAACCATGGAGTTCAGTCCACATAAACCAGACATGACTTGAAAGCTGGTTTTTGTATTTTACATTCTAGGCATGAGAGTGATATTGAGATACTGAATATTTAATCCATTCTCATTGGTTAAATTTGTTTAGGGGAATGGAACGGAGGAGTCAGATGATGAAAGAAGCTCAGAAACAAACTCACAGAGGCAGCAGATACTTACACAGCTAACTGAAACTGCTTATGAGACTCTTGGCAAAGCCTGGCCTAGCAACCATCTCACTCAAGGTAAAACTGCTGGCAGACAGTAAGCTAAATACAATGAAACACCTGTTTAAGTTTTCTGTGGGGATCAGTGGATTTTAACTCTAAAATGAAGAACATCTTAAATGGAAGTAGCTTAACCCTTTACGGTGGTTTGACGTTTGTCGTACCGTGGTATTTAAATGCCCCTGTCTGTGGTTTCACGTACTGTGTACGTTAAGCTGTAAGCTAAGTTTCGAAATGGCATAAGAATTGAAAGGATCACGCTAGAATTATGCAGTTTGGACTCCCCTGTTATGGAGAGAACGCAGTCGCTGAATGTACGCATGCAACTGCACCTCCTATGCCAGGAAGTCTAAAAATAAACTCGTGACTCACAGTGGTATCAACGCTGACTATAATTTACACATTCCAAACACATGATATGGTTTAGTGGTTAGGAAAGCTAAGAACAAACAGCGCCAGCGGTTGTTTGTGAAACGTGTTGAAAGGAACTGTCCTTTCAGTGGGTGCGTGTTTACTTGAACGAAAGAAGGGTCTATGTCGTCTAAAAAA